AGACAAAGTCCTGTGACCTCAGGAACCAGTGACAGATATCTGCTGGCAAACACTTAGAACAGTTCACCCCGAGTGACCCAACTGCTCTTCATTTCACGAGGCTGGAAATCCAAACATGTCTGGTGTCAGAGGAAAGCTCTCAGGATGAACACGACCCATCTCTGCTCTCCTCAGCAGCTTTTGGGGCTCTCAGCAGAGAGGCTGAGAACTCCACTGGCTCTTCAAGCTGGGGTACCATAAAAACTACTACAGGAATGCATTTTAAACTAGGGGTGGCAGCAGAGGGGTGAAATGTTTAGCAGACTGGCTGTAATTTAAATCCTTCTAGTTTGTATTTTGTTAGCTTTAAAGTCACTTATTAGTGATCACATAATTCGCAGAAACCCTGCACAACGTTCCTTACCAGACAGCATCACTTAAACACATTTTCTATGCTCACCTAAACATTTCAGGGTTTGTTGATTTGGGTTTTTTCCTTGTTAAGTCCTGAGTTTTCTATTTAGGGTAACAGACCTCATTAATTTCCCTCTTTCTTGCAGGACAAATACCACTCCAGGCAGAAGGATTACTGCTGTCACCAAGCCTAAATGGGGAAGTAATTTCTCAGTAATTTCCTGCTCAGAAGAGGAAGGTGAATAGTGATGTTGTTGACATCACATCGATTGCCCATGAAGAGAAAGGTTTGTGCAAACACATTTCCCATCTTTAAACTCACCGATGGGCACAAATGGAGTCTCCTTAAATTTCCTTATCAGCTTCGAGGTCTGGCTGCTGTCAGTCTCATACTCAGGGTAAACGGATTCCTGGCTGGGTGACATGGTGGCTGTGAAGACAAAGAGCCTCCCTTCATGTTTTAGAAATCCCAAATTAAGAGAATCTTTAGAGAAAGAAAAAACCCTCGTGGTATTCCCCCCAAGTCACAAATATCCAGGCAGTGAGATACAAGCACAGGAGCTACGGACAGGTGATTTAATTCCAGTGAAGCCTTGGGAAGCAGGATTGTTACTTACCAGGATTGGTAAGAGCAGGACAGAACAGAAAAAAAAAAAAGAGTGGGGAAGCAACAAATTTCTGCCACGTGCCCCCCCACACTCACAGGCAGCGAGAAGCCACAGAAAGCTTTGGCCATTGCCCGCCTTTCCTTTTAGGAATTCCACGCCACACCACTTGGCTTTCGCAGGCTGTTCCTTTATGGCAGCTCTGACCTCAGCAGAGTTCACATCTCCCCTCTCACTCCTTGCCAAGAACAGCAACCACAGGGAAGCAGGAGCTGCTGCACAAGGTCAGCCCTGCCCAGTGGCTCCTCAGCTGCCTGTCCCACCTCAGTGTAATTCCAGGTTCCTGGAGAACACAGGGATGTACAACAGCCACTCCTGAGGAGCTGGAGCGAGTCCTGGAGCCCTCCATAGGTGCAGACTCGTGTGGGGACACATCAGGAGGAGGAATCATGCACAGGTGATTTCTCACCTGCCTCTCAGGAAAATTAATGCAGTGACAGCCTTGAGAAAGGCTCCACTCAAAGAACCATCATCACCAAACCAGTGAGACCATTCTCCAAAAAATCCCAGCTTCTCATGCTGGGAATTACATGGATTACACCCAGACCTGTTCTGTCCTCAGTGCTCGGCATAAACACCATTCAGTGAACGATGATTTCTGCCCAGCGACACCACAGGGGCCTTTGCTAGAAAAGTCTCCACTGTTATTGTTCCAGTTTTGCCACCAACACACTCCACAGCAAAACACAGCTCAGGGGCACATGGAAGCACTCCAAGCTCTCAGAATAAACCACCAGGAATTCCATTTAAGCAGGGGCCAGTAACCCCCGGCAAAAGAGACATTTCAAAGGTGGCTGCGCTCCCTGGTTACGCAGCACTTCCTGCACACCCGTGTGAGCAGACCGACTGGTTCTCAAACTGAAGGCTCAGACCATTTCCTCTGCCAGGACAAAGGATTTGATGTCTCTGTGCCTGCTACAACCACCCTGGTTTGCTAAATGAGAGTTGTAATTTTAGCCTGACTCATTTGGAGGAGGAAACAGGAGCACTCGGTCATTCGGGAGAGGGGGAGGCAGCCAGGGGTGGGATTTACACAAGAAAAGGGCATTGAAAGTGAATCAATTCATCAGTTCCACCCGAGAGGTTTCCACGACCTTCAGCTCACACAGGGGTGGGCCCAGGGCAGAGGAAACTGTGTGAAACACACCCTGACTGCCCTGACCTTGCCGACACCCAGCAGGGAGGTCTGTGTGACAGGTGTCACCCACAGGGGGAGCAACACGGGTGGGAAGGTGACAGGATCCCTCTGTGAGAGGTGTCACCCACGGAGGGAGGCACATGGGTGGGAAGGTGACAGGTCCCATCATCCCTCCCGGCAAGGCGGCGGCCCTGAGCACCACCAGGCTGCCTTCCCCCTCCCCAGACCCACACAGAGACCCTGTCCCGCTCCAGGCCCAGGTCCCCGTGCCCCACGCGGGTACAGGGCACCCCACTTCAGCCCCAGGCCCTGCGACCCACACGGAGACCCTTCCCCACTCCAGCCCCAGGCACCTTTACCGCACTCCGGGCCTCTGCCCCGCTCCAGCCCCAGCTCCCCCTACGGGGACCCTGTTCCAGCCCAGCCCCACACGAGGACCGTTCCCCACGGCAGCCCCAGGTCCCCGCACCCCACATGCGGCCTCTGCCTCACGGCAGCCCCAGGTCCCCGGACCCCACACGGGGAGCCGCCTCGCTCCAGCCCCAAGTCCCCTCCTCCTCCTCCGCGCCTCTGCCCCTGGATGTACCCTGGGTGTACCCCAGCTGTCCCCCGGTGTCCCCGTCCCCCCGGCCCTGTGCTCACCGCGCTCTCCGGTACCGGCCGCGTCTGCCGCGCCAGGCCCCGCCCCCGCCTCTTATAGGCCGGCCGGGCCCCGCCCCCCACCGGGACCACAACTCCCAGCGCACCGCGCGGCCGCGCGCCCGCCGCCGGCCAATCAGGGGCGGGGCCGCAGCACCGCTGCCTCATACGGGCCGGGGGGCGGAGCCGGCCGTGACGTCACTCGGGGCGCTCCGCATTGCGGCGCGGTCACGGGGGGCGGGGCCGCCGGCAGGGGGCGCTGAGCGGGGCCCGGGCGGCCCCTCAGGGAGCGGAGGGGGGTGCGGGCTGTGGGCTGTGAGGGTCGGGTATGGCCAGGGATGGACGGGCCGCTCGTGGCACCCCGAAACGGGGGTTAGCCCGTCCTAAACAGGCTGCGAAAACAGCCGGTGGTGTCTTTGCAACCTGTCGGCTCGGCACATCAGAAACTTTCCGTGTCGGTGTTATAAACCCTCACTGTGACATGGAGTCAGTGCAAGGGCCGGGAGGGGCAGGACAAGGGGGATTGGCTTCAAACTGCCTGAGGGCAGGGTTGGATGGGATATTGGGAAGGAACTGCTCCCTGTGCGGGTGGGCAGGCCCTGGCACAGGTTGCCCAGGGAAGCTGTGGCTGCCCCATCCCTGGAAGTGTCCAAGGCCAGGTTGGACGGGGCTTGGAGCAACCTGGGATAGTGGAAGGTGTCCCTGCCCATGGCAGGGGTGTGACTGGATGGGCTTTGAGGTCCCTTTCAACCCAAACCATTCTGGGATTCTGTGACATCAGGTGGAAGCTCTTCAGCAAAGGGCGAAGTCAGAGCCCAATTTTCACAGAATCCCAGGTTATATTTTGAGTTAGAAGGGACCTTAAAGATCATCTTGTTCCAACCCCCTGCCATGGGCAGGGACACCTTCCACCAGCCCAGGTTGCTCCAAGCCCTGTCCAACCTGCCCTTGGACACCTCCAGGGATGGGGCAGCCACAGCTTCTCTGTCTTTCCCTGCTGATTGTCTCATTATGTTTTCACAAATTTCAGCTTTCAAGCAGAGCTTGCTTTACACCTGCTGTGTTCCAGGCAGAGGATGTGGAAGCCCAGAGTTAATCCAGAAGCTTCTCCTGACTCAAAGCAAACCGTCCTCTGGAGGAGGAGGAAAAATTCACTGGGATCCTGGAGATGCCTAAAATCCTCCCCTAAAACTGAGGGCAGCTCATCAGGGCAAAACAGCAAGGAAAAGTCCTTGTTGTGCAGTGGGGTGTTTGTGCCTCTCCATCTCCGAGCAGGGGGAAGCAGAGTCAGGGTCACCCCTCCACCCACACGAGGCATTTTGGGCAGCATGAGAGAAAGTGGCTCAGGCAACCATTTGTTCCAGCTGCATCTCTCTAAATGTGCTTCCCATTAACCCTAATCTTGTTACTTTAATTGCCAAAGCCATTAGGGCTCTGCAGTCAAAGGAAACAAAAAAATCTATGCAATTATCAGCCTCCAAATTGAGTTAAAATCTTGTAATAAATTACAGCGAGGGCCACTTTCTCCAGTGACTCTCAGAGGCACATTTAACTCCCTGCTTCAGGGCAGAAACTAAATTAAAAACAAAAACTTATTTCATTTTCATTGCTGGGCTAATGAAACCTCTGTCACCCGCAGCATCTCCCTGTGTGTGTATCCAGTGTCTGGGCTCTGGGAGTGGTTCTTTCTCCCTGATGATGTGTTGCACATATATATTTATTATATTAAAAATATATATATAATTGTATGGTATATATAAATGCAGCAGCTGATGGTGACAAACATGAAAATAGGTAAAAATAACGTATTTCTCTCTGTGAATCCACTTAACAAGGGGCAGGCTGGATGCAGAGCTGTGGCCATCGCTGCTGCTCCACCCTCCTGCTTCTACCAGGGTGATTTGGGGAGTATAAAACACACCAGGATTGGCACAGGTAAAGCCTTGGCATGGTCAGGATGTTCCCATGGTCCTGCTTGGTGGTGAGATGAGGAAACAAGCAGGAAGGTGACCACTCACCAAGAGTAACATTCTGAAACTTCTCCAATAAACCACTTTGACTGAGATCTCTTCTGTCAAAGTGTCAGAAACTTCTGTCAAAAACTGTCAAAAAACTTTTCTGTCAGTAACTTTTCTGTCAAAAATTTCTCCAGCAAACACCTTTGACAGAGGCCATTTCTGCTCTTGCAAGGGATGAGGATCCTGCAGCATCTGAAGAGCACATGAGTTATTCAGGTTTCCTGGAAAACATGCAGATTTCTACAACAGGATCTCAGACAGGGTGGAGACCATTTATCCACTGCTGTCATCCTTGACCAGCACCAGGAAAAGCAAAAACAAAACCAGGGAGCTCCTATTTCCTGCCCACTTGCTCTTACAAAAGTGAAAGAGGTTTCTAAAAGCCTAATTCGAGCCTTCAGCAGGATGGAAACAAGAGAAGAAACTCCTGTAAGTGCATTTTCTGCTTCTTACTCGTAGACAAAGCTGTGCAGAAAACCTGGCCAGGTTCTCCTTTCTTTTTGAAAAGTGACCAGTTTGGGATTGGGATTAATTTGTGAGGTCAGCCCATGTTGTGTTCACCAGTTCTCCGCTCTGAGCTATGGGACAGGGGTGTGGATGTCAGTGCCAGGCTGATACAGAGAGAGAAGGATGTGGCAGAGGGAGAAAAGGCTGGAAGAGACCCAGAAATGTAAATTTTGGGAGCGGCTTGTCCTGATGTGGGCACAGAGGGTGTGAGGGGAAGGGTATTTCACGCTCTGTTTGGGTGTTGCTGTGATCAGGGGGTGGGCAGCTTTGGTTTGCTCTCCGTGAGGAATGTGCTAGAGCCACAGCTATGCATGGCTGGGGGTGAATTTCTTCCAAAATATGATACAGGAAAGAAATTTTAAAAAGCTCTTTCCCAGACAAGTCCCAGACAAACAAAGACTCTGCCGTGGCAGATCCCTGCTCTCCATCACTGCTCTGCCTGAAGTGCCCTGCAGCACTTGCCAAAGAGCTGCAAGGCAGCAAGAAAACATTTCAGCACAGCTCAAATCACTTTTTATTTTCTTTTCAGCTGCCTGGAGTTGCCTGGAATGGGTATTTAAGCAATTTTAGCCGTGGGACCACAGCAGGTACGTCCAGAGCTTCACCCCTTCCAGCTGCACATCCAAAGTCATCCTCAGCACCCTGCTCGGAGCCTGGGGAGCTTTCCTTAATCCATGTGGGGTGGAGGGGCTCCCCTCTTCCGGGGTGTTTGTGGGGAGGGAGGGATATGTCCTCCTTGGGAGGACAAGCAGAGACCAACAGTTTCATTTTCTCATTACTCAGCGGCTCCAGGTCTCTTGGGAAATGGGACAGACCGGTCCTGGAGGAGAAACTGCAGACATGGTACTGACAGGGGGTGAACTCAGGCAGATCCCGTTCCCACCGTGGCAGATGGGCTCTTCTTTTGAAACCCTTGCAGCGTTCTCGTTCGTGTGGTGGGTTTTTCACTCCGAAAATCAGAATCCAGAAATAGGAAGCTGCAGATCACTGACCATCCCCTGACATCTGGGCTGCAGCTGTCTAAACAACTGAGGCCGGTCCTGGGGAGTGGCCGAGTGTGGGGGATGTCTCATGCCTTGGCTCGTGCAGAATTGATTTCAACAACATTCTTCCAGCTAAATCTCTGCCTCTAACCTTGATTCAGGACTTGATTCTGGTGCCTACCTGTTCTTACCTTGGATGAGTCTTTGAGCAGTCTGTTCTAGTGGAAGGTGTCCCTGCCCAGGGGGTTGGAATGAGATGGTCTTTAAGGTCCCTTCCAGCCTAAACCATTCTGGGATTCTCTGAATCTCTGATTTTATGTTTTCCACTTACCAATATTTTTATTACAAGAATCCATGTCTTGGTGTCCTAGAGCTGGCACAGAGAGGGGTCAGTGTCCCACCAGGAGCTGGGAGATGTTCAGCATTTCCCCTCTGGAACAGCCCGACCGACACAAAGGTGCTGGTGGCAGGTTCTGCTTCACCAAGGACTGAGATGGCCCTTTCTCAGTAGTGACCCAGGTGAATATAAGCAGCTCACAGTGAGATGTGGTGGGGCATTTCCCACAACTGAGAGCACAAACTTCCTCAAAAGCTTGTGCTGGTGTCAGGGGGAAGTAGTGGGTTATGTCAGAGGAGTCTGTGATCACTGACTTTCAAGTTTTATGTTTCAGAGTAAGGAAAGCAGAATTTTATTTATTTATTTATTTTTTAATTTCTGTGTAGACAGTTGTCTCCTCACAATTGAACAAAAGCCAAGCAGTGCAGGACACCGAATACTTACCAGAAAGTGGCAGAAATTTAAACCTCTGAGCTTTCAATACCTGAAGAGAGCCTACAAGAAAGACCAAGAGAGACTTTTTACAAGAGCACAGAGCGACAGGACAAAGGGGAATGGATTCAAACTAAAATAGGGTAGGTTTAGATTGGATATTAGGAGGAAGTTCTTTGCTGTGAGGGCCTGGCACAGGTTGCCCAGAGAAGCTGTGGCTGCCCCATCCCTGGCAGTGTCCAAGGCCAGGTTGGACGGGGCTTGGAGCCACCTGGGCTGGTGGAAGGTGTCCCTGCCCATGGCAGGGAGGTGGAATGAGATGACCCATAAGGTCCCTTCCAACCCGAGCCATTCTACAATTCTATGGTTCTGTGATCTAAAGGACAACACTCCCTGATGTGGTGTTTGCTTCCTGTGTGGATTCAAACACTTTGATCCCCTCCCCTTGTCTTTTGCTCTTAGGCAGCCACTCGTCAAACACAACCTCGGCGGCGACGACGACGATCACAGCCCCCTGGCTGGACGGGGCCAACTCCAGCGAGTACCCGTACGAGTACCTGGACGAGGGGGATTACGGGCAGTACGGGCTCTGCACCAAGGAGGGGGTGCTCTCCTTCACCCAAGTGTTCCTGCCTGCCTTTTACGCCGTGGTCTTCCTGCTCGGCATGGCCGGGAACGCCCTCCTGTTCGTCGTCCTCATGTTGTACATCAGGAAGAAGAAGAAGATGACCGAGGTGTATCTGCTGAACCTGGTGGTTTCAGACTTCTTCCTGCTGCTGACCCTTCCTTTCTGGGCTCTGCACATTTCTCAGGGGTTCGCCTGGGACGTTTTGTGCCCGGTCTTAAATGCCATGTACACTCTGAACTTCTACAGTGGCGTCTTTTTAGTGAGCTGCATGAGCCTGGACATGTATCTGCAGATAGTTCACGCTTGCTCTGCCCACAGCTCCACGTCGTGGAGGAAGCCCGTCCTCGGCTTGTTGGTGGTGTGGATCCTTTCCATACTCCTCTCCATTCCTGATGGCCTCTTCACCAGCACAAGGCAAATCCACAATGAAACCACCACGTGCACCCAGGATTACGGCCAGGACCACTTGTTTTGGAAAGTTGTCTTTCGGGTCACTCAAAACATCCTGGGCTTCCTTTTGCCCTTCCTCTTGATGGTGTTCTGCTACTCCCGCATCGCCTGTGTCCTCAGCACGTCGCGGCTGCCTGGCTCCAGGAGAGCCCTCTGCTTGGTCTTCACCCTGGTGGGTGTCTTCTTTGCCCTGTGGTCTCCCTACAACGTTGTCCTCATCCTCCACTCCCTGCAGGATGTTGGTGTGATCAGGAGCTGTGAAAGCAGTAGGAAGCTGGACTATGCCATGCAGGTCACGGAGAGCTTGTCCTTTGTCCACTGCTGTCTCAACCCCTTCCTCTATGCTTTTGTGAAGAAACGGTTCAGGTCCTACTTGTGGAAGATCCCTCAGGCCATTTTCAGGAGCAGTGGTTTCTTTCACATCCAGCTCTCGGAGACAAGCCCGTCTTGCAGCAGATACGTGGCTGAGATAGAAATGTTGAGTATCACAACTGCAGCATAAATATTGACATTGTTTACACTATGTGTGTGCCCCCTGGGCTGCATTTGGTCCTGGCCATGGGATGGAGTTGGTGTGAGCCCACACTTCATAACCAGACAGTTCGTCCAAGCACCGCCCTCGAGATGGGGATTTTCCATGCTGAGACTGGGAAAGTACTTGTGGGATTTGTTTCTGCTGATAAAAAACTGGGAGGGGCTGCTGACTCCCTGGAAGGCAGGGAGGCCTCAACAAATCAGAGCACTGGACAATCACCAACTGTAGGAAGTTCAACAAGGGGAAGTGCCGGATTCTGCCCCTGGGATGGGGCAACCCTGGATGGATGGACAGACTGGGAATGAGAGGCTGGAAAGACTATGAGACAGCAGTGCCCTGGTTGCCAGGAGGGCCAATCCTGTCCTGGGGGATCAGGGAGGGGATTGTTCTGCTCTGCTCTGCCCTGGGTTGACCTCAGCTCAATATTGGTGCAGTTTAGGGACACCACAATCTAAGGAAGATAAGAAGCCATTGGAGAGTGTCCAAAGGAGGGACACAAAGATGGTGCAGGGCCTTGATTTGAAGCCGTGTGAGGGCACTGAGGGCACTTGGTGTGTTCAGCTGGAGAAGAGGGGACTGAGGGGAGACCTCCCTGCAGTTCCAACTGCCTGGGCAGAGGCAGAGGAGGGGCAGGACTGAGCTCTGCTCTGGGGGGACCAGGGACAGCCCCCAGGGAATGGCTGGAGCTGTGTCAGGGCAGGCTCAGGGTGGATCTCAGGGAAAGGTTCTTCCCCCAGAGGGTGGTTGGCACTGAACAGGCTCCCCAGGGCAGTGGGCACAGCCCCAAGGCTGCCAGAGCTGCAGGAGGGTTTGGATGATCCTCTGGGGCACAGGGGGTGACTCTTGGGGATGGACCTGTGCAGGGCTAAGGGTTGGACTCAATGCCTGTGGCTTCCTTGCAGCTCAGCACAGTCTGTGATTCTGTGAAACATGCAGATGTTCTCTTCTGTAGAGTCCAGAGGGTCTGATGGAGAAGAGCAATCCCATTATCCCTCCAGTTCATGGTGTGGGCTATGGAATAGCTTTTACACAGTCATCCATCAGTCCAGAAACCCAGGAGTAGGTTTGCCACGCTCATGCATCAGGCCAGAAACCCAGCAGGGTTTGCTTCTCCTGGCTCTTACCATCTGCCAAGTAGGTGGCAAGAGCCACACAGTTCAATTGGGATCATCCCTTTGTCCATCAGGAGAGATAAAAGGAGGGATTGGGCACTTTCAAGCTGAGTTGTCTGCCCAGTGACAGTTTCCTCTGTTAGGATGTGCCACACTGGGCTCTGCTGAGCAGGAAACTGGGTCTCCCCAGGAGACACATCCTTGGTTAGAGGTCAGTTCAATCACTGACTGATTTGAGACCACTTTGTTCAGAACAAAGTTAACAGTAACCAGTAACAGCCAGTGAGAAAGAGAAAACAAGTGGGCTCAGCAGAACAGTGACAGAGGCATTTGACTGCCACAGAGAGGCTTGGACAAGATAAAAAGGATCAGTGGGTGCTGTAACATAAATATTGGCTTTGCAACACCACAGAGTGAGATCATGGCCTGAACAGAAGAGCACAGGGAGCTGTTGGCCAATCCTTACTACCCAGAGTAGCTTTGAAGCTCAAGGTTATGAGGTTGCTGACTTTTATTTAAATATATTGTTCACCCCAAATGCTCCTGAACCTTAAGTGGTCCATTTCCAGCCTGGAAATCTATTAAGCATGGGACATGCCTAGAACTGTACAAAAACAAAAAAAAGAGAATTATTTAAAAGGATAACACTCATCACCTTAATTTTATTGCTACACAGGGTTACAGGACTGAGAAGGGCTTTGAGTTGGTCTGGAAAGATGGATTTGTTTTCACTGCTGTTATTTTTCTTCCCGGCATTGCTACAGCGTGTTTCCAAAATGGTAAGGCTGGGAGCTCTCCTTAGAAAAACAAAGCCAGAATATGTATTTAGCTGATGCTGGGATGTGGCCTTCACTCCACAGGTCAGGTCACTGGAGGGGACGTGGAAAGGGACAGCAGCTGGGAAGCAAGAAAGATGAAGATTGGGATCCCAGAGAGAGGAGAACTCTTGGGACTGCTGGAAACTTATGAGGGGATTCTCGGGGGAAGGGCAAAGGTGAGGGAAATAGCGAGGGGATAATGTCACTCCCTGTCCAATGCGAGGTCCAGGCATCAGCGACTGGGACAGAGGTTGTGGTGACTGTGTGTGCAGATCAGGGTGGCAGCACTGGGAAAAAACTTCTAGGGCACTGTGCCTTGGAGAACATTGAAATGTTGGAGACCTTTCCTTCTCTTGGCTTTGGAGACCAAACTGGCTCAGCTGTAACCCCCTTCCTGAGCCCATTTCCAGTAGCATTTCCAACATCCACCCTTTGTTTCCTTTTTTCAGCCTGCAGCGCTTGTCCATAGCCTGGCCTTGAAGGCAGAAATTATGGAGTGGAATCCTCTGAACCTTTTTTTTTTTTTTTCCCTAAAACTGGGCTCCATGCCCCTAGAAAAGGGAATTTGCTTTAAGTGCTGCAGAGCCCAGGCCAAACCCCACCCCCCTTCCACAGCATGGGTACTCCAACGGGATTACAACATCCCTTCCACCTCCGAAATCCCTGCCCACAGAGGGAGAAGTTCACACCGGAGCGCTCCGCAGGGGCAGGCAAACACCTGCTGCCAATGGGGACAGAGGTTGTCATCTCTGCCTCTGCGTATCAGCTGCTGCATGGGAATAGAAAGCACATTCCTGCCCCAACCTGTCCCAGGTCCCAGCTCCCGGACGGGCACAGAGCTCTCATGGGGCTGTGGGTGTTTGTCCTCTGTGCCTTGGTGGCGTCGCTGCTCGGTGGCCTCTATGTCCTGGGGGTGTTCCGGAGACGGAGACCAGATGAGCCGCCCCTGGACAAGGGCAGCATTCCCTGGCTGGGCTACCTGCTGGATTTCAGGAAGGACAGTTCCAGGTTTGTAAAAAGGATGCAGAGGAAACATGGGGATGTTTTCACGGTGCTGCTCGGTGGCCGTTACTTCACCTTCGTGATGGACCCCTTCTGCTTTGGCAGCATCGTGAAGGAATCGCGCTCTAAACTGGACTTTAGGGCTGCTGCAACTCAGCTGGTCCTGCAGGCTTTTGGCTATGAGCCCATCGAATCCAACCACAACATAGTCCGTGAATCGAGCATGAAGCACCTGATGGGAGAGGGGCTGAGTGTCCTGACTCAAACCACCATGGAGAACTTCCAGAAGCTGATGCTTTTCAACCTGAGCCCAGGAGAGGAGAAGCGAGCGTGGCGGGAGGAGAACCTCTTCCACTACTGCTACAACATCGTCTTCAGAGCCGGGTACCTGGCTCTGTACGGCTCTGAGCCACACCAGGGGCCAGGAGGCAAGGAGAGGGCCGAGGAGCAAGATCGTGCCCACTCCAACCAGCTGTTCCACGAGTTTCAGAAGTACGACCGCCTCTTCCCTCGCCTGGCCTTCTCTGTGTTGCCTCCCAAGGACAAAAAAGAAGCTGAACGGCTGAAGAGGCTCTTCTGGAGCGTGCTGTCCGTGAAAAACGCCAGGCAGAAGGACAATATCAGTGGGTGGATCAGTGACCAAGACCAACTCCTGGCAGAAAATGGTGTGCCCGAGTACATGCGGGATCGTTTCATGTTCATGCTCCTCTGGGCGTCCCAAGGCAACACGGGCCCCACTGCCTTCTGGCTCCTCCTGTACCTGCTGAAGCATCCAGAAGCTCTGGAGGCGGTGAGAGGTGAGGTAGATAAAGTCTTGAGGGAGAATGGGCAGGAAGTGAAGGCAGGGAGCCGACCAGTTACCATCACTAGGGACATGTTGAGCCAGGCTCCTCTTCTGGACAGCGCTCTGGAGGAGACCCTGAGGCTGGTGGCAGCCCCGCTGCTGATCAGAGCTGTCCTGGAGGACATCAGCCTCAAGACAGGCAGTGGGGCAGAGTACACCCTCCGCAAGGGGGACAGGCTGGCTCTGTTCCCGCACCTCGCCGTGCAGATGAACCCGGACATTCACGACGAGCCCCACAAATTCAAGTATGACCGTTTCGTGAACCCAGACGGCACCAAGAGGGATTTCTACAAAAATGGGAAGAAGCTGAAATATGTCAGCATGCCCTGGGGGGCAGGAGTATCCACCTGTCCCGGGCGGTTCTTCGCCAGCGCCGAAATGAAACTCTTCGTGTTCTTGATGCTGAGCCACTATGACCTGGAGCTGGTGAATGAGGAAGAGGAGATCCCAGGGATAGACATCAGCCGCTGGGGATTCGGGACCATGCAGCCCGTTCACGATGTTCGCTTCAGATTCCGGCCGCGCTTTTGATTTCGGGAAGCCCCTGTTGTGTTGTTTGTCCCAGTGTTACCTCTGAACAAATCCCGTGGTTATCAGCTCCTGATCTGATGTTTTCTTTGCTTAACATTTATCATGGCTTGTGTTTTTACCTCCTTCTCGTGTCTCCGGTTATTGTGGTGTTGGGAAATGTGATGAAAGAGAGGCAAAATGTGTCCTGTGTGGGGTTATCCCCAGCACCCCCCCCATCCCATCAGCCTGTTGAAAACCCAGAGGAGCACAGGGGCATATTGACAGGTGGGAACCCAAATTCAGGGCTTCCAAGGAAAAAGTATTTTGGCCAGGGCTGTCCCAGCAGAGCCATCAGCCCTGTGGTCCTGACATGAGACCCATGGAGATGTGCAAGAGGATTTCTGTCAAGGGAGGGAAGAGCATTTTGGGATTGCACAGGACTTAAAGTAGGATAGTTTTGGGGAGGATTTAGGTGATTTGGGGAGGAAAGTTGAGAGGTAAGGAGATAAAAGGGACTGGTTGTATATAAAACATGCCATACACTTCCTCCCCCTGATTTGTTTTAGTGTCTTATTAAATTCCTGTCCTTAAATTCAAGACCCCGAGTCAAAGGGGCTGTGTGTCCATGGTGCCAGCACTGGTACTGGAGTGAAAACAGTTGTACAAGCAAAGACCAGGCCAGATGAGCTGGGAAATGAGTGCCTTGGGAGGGTGGGGATGAGCTGCTGTGCACCAGCACTGGCACTGTGTTATTTTGTTATCAGCTCCTCACTGACACATTTATTTACTTCTGTTTCTGAATCATCATTGGCAGGATGGCACCAGCTTGTAGTGAACCCCTGAAAGGTCAGAGGGCAGAAAACATCCTCTCCAGAGACATAAGAATTTCCTTGGAGCATTCAAATTATCATGCCTGTGGTCCCCTTTTTGTATCTGATGAGATCCCCAAGGGGAGCAGAGGTGGGATGTGCTGAGCGAGGAAATACCAACAGCTCCTTCCCATTTCATGTGTAAGAAAAGGTCAGATCATCTCATTCACCAGATCAGTGGGAGAAGAGCATTGCCAACATCACCCACAACCTGCAGTACCATTTTCATGTGCTCATGTGGGTTAGGAGTGCAGGGGGTCACCTGCCTTTCCAGCTCTGCAGCAGGCTGAGCATTCAAGACATTCCCACTCTCCCAGTTTAGACCCCAATCCTCTGCAAATACCCAAGGAGATGGTAAGGAAAAGGATGGAGTGATGGGAAGGGGCTCAAAAACCAAAGTGGGGCATGAGAAAACAGCCTCAATCCCTTATGGGCTACAGCCACAGTGACCTTATAGCCCTCAAACATCTGTTTTATCTGCTGGATCAATACAAGATAAAAATTTGCCCTCTGCAAGCTCTGCTTTGCTTTGTTCCCCTTCAATAATTAGGGTAAATTACTAGTCCTTACAGAAGGTAAATCCTGGCCTTTCCTGTACAGACAGCAGGATTGATTTTAAAGCTGACAGTAACCTTGGACTTTGGCAATTATGTATGATCAAGGACTGAAACTCAAACATTTTCACAGGTATCCAAACATCAAAGGCAGATCCTGCTTCTTTCTGCAAAGGGCAGGGAGATGTTGTAAGTGCATGCTGAGGGCAAACTCTCCCAGCCTGCCAGACTGGGCATTAGCCCAGACCTTGTGGTGTGGAAATTCAGGCAGAAACCATTGAGCAGCTGGGGCAGAACCAAGGAAAACCAAAACCACCTGTAACTGCACAGGGCTTGACTGCGACAGTTAATATTCCCATTAGCAATTCCAGCACCTTTTCACAATTTTCATGTTGGCTCTCACCTGTTTTTTTTTTTGTGTCACCCTGGGCTCATTGCTTGGCTCTGCTACCAAGAATTAAATTTGAGCTCTTCCCAAGTTCTGGTCAATTCAAGCTCCAAACCATGGCCTGGAATGCCTTAGGACAGCTGGAGAGCTCAGAGCCATCATCACATCCTGGCCAAGTGATGTCCTCACTCCAAGGCTCTGGGAAAAGGATTTTTTTTTGTGTGGATGGTTTGCATGGAGTTTGTTCCCTGCTGATACACAGTGTACATTGTAGGGACCCCAGGTCAGAGTGAGGGTGGAAAACTGGGCTTGGGAAAGGGATATAAAAATAATGACAGTCATTCAGCAGAAAAATCTGGCTTTACTTGCTTGTCAGAATGGTTTATTTAACCAAACAGTATTGAGTCTATTAAAGACTTCAGACATGCCCAAATGCATGCAGTTGTGAGAAGCCAAAAAAAAAAAAAAAAAGTCATATATGGAAGAGTGTGAAAGCTCCAAATGAGTTAATCTGCAATTAAGTTTTATGCTTGGGTGGGTTCTCCCCTGGCACTGAGCTTTCCATCCCAAAGTGCAACAGCAAGAGTGAAAAACCAGCCTGTGCCAACAAAAACCTGACTGGATTTGTAAGAGAAGTTAAGTTGGAAGGAATCCAGGAATAAATTTGAAAAGTTTACTGGGGGCAGCTCTCATTGCAGTGTCTGTCTCGTGTAACTCTCCTGTCCCCTGAGGGAGCTGAGTGTGGAGTCTGTCCCTAAGCCCCTGCTTTTCTCTCCTGTGGAGCTTAATGAAGACAATATTCCTTCAACATTCCAAGTTTTACAATCCACTGAGTCGGTGCCTGCTCTCCACAGAACAGGGAAAGTGTTCCAGTCACACTGAGCAAGGGGAGGAGTCACAACCTGCATCCTTCAGGTTTGGAATAATAGGGATTAAACACCTTGGGAAAGGCCATCCCTGGTTAAACAGCCTCAACTCTAGTAATGAAACTGCAATGCATCAGGAACTGGTTTCCTGTGTTCCTTCCCCCAAACACAGACAGATACAGCTCTGAGAAAGCCCCCACTGAATGCTGCTCGTGTGGAAAATCAAAGGAAGTCGGTGGCACCAACAGAAACATCAATCACTGCAGAGAAACTCGAAGGAGCACTGAGGTTATGAGTACAAAGCCATGACACAGCCAACACCACCCACTGCAGAGGAAAGCGGGGTTGGAAGGAGAAACAACGTGAGAATCTCGGGATTTTTTTTAAAGAATTAAAACACAAGAGCCTTTGCCATGTCTCTGGGTAGAGGTGCCTGTGCACTCCCCAGGGAAGAGCAGCCTGGCTTCAAAGTGGCAAAGGACAACACCTGCACGTTACAAGGCCGTGGTCACTGGTGCATTTGCTGCCTTCCCTGTCTGCTGGCCCAGCTCCCCAGCAAGTCACAGAATATGCAGGAACAGCCTGTGGCAGGCAGGACACGGCAGCACAAACACAGGGAGCAGTGACCCCAGCTCAGCTGATGGACACCAGCGTGGCAGGATGGTTTGGTACCAAACACTGAGTGCAGAAGGGGACAGGGAGGCAATTCCTGCCTGTCCCATCCACGTCACTGTGCAACCATGAGGCCGTACTTGGAGCACAGCAGGCCCCTCTTCTTCTCCCGTTCCGTGAGGAAATTCCTCAGTTTGGTGGTGGGGAAGGTAACCAGTGCTTGCTGCCTGCTGTCCAAACCTGTCTCCTGGAGCCACGGGCTCTGAAGGCACTCGGAGGCTGACAGCCTTCCCCTGGAAGAGGAGAGGTGAGGAGGTCACTCAGGGAGCCCTGCTGGGTGAGGAGGCTCCTTGCACATAGAAAAGAGGGGCAATAGCCAGGATCTGCCCCAGCCGAGCAGCTGGGAGAGCAGACACCACCTTACCAGGGGTTTGCACACAGGGTGCTCTGCAGGAAGGACACGGCTCCCCCGGACAGGCCCGCGTAGCACCGCGTGAGCTTCACTTTGCCCTTCCTGGTGGTTCTCAGGAACTCACAGGGCACCTCGGAGCTGACGGGGTAGTTGGCACTCAACCTGCCCCACAAGAAGAGAATTGATCAGAGTGAAGCTGCCTCCAGCTCTGGAGTCCCCAACATAAGGAGGGTGTGGAAGTGTTGGAGCGAGTCCAGAGGAGGCCACGGAGATGTTCTGAGGGCTGGGAGAGCTGGGGGGGTTCACCCGGAAGAAGAGAAGGCTCCAGGGAGACCTGAGAGCCCCTTGCAGGGCCTAAAGGGGCTCCAGAAGAGCTGGAGAGGGACTGGGGACAAGGGCCCAGAGTGACAGGACAAGGGGGGACAGCTTTAAACTACAACAAAGGAACTTTAGATATTAGGAAGAAATTCTTTACTATAAGGGTGGTGAGGCACAGGTTGCCCAGAGAAGCTGTGGCTGCCCCATCCCAGAAGTGTTTGAGATCATGTTAGATTGGGCTTGAAGCAACCTGATCTAGTGGCCCACGGCAGGGAATTTGGAACTGGATGATCTTTAAGGTCCCTTCTAACTTAAACCATTCTAGGATTCTACAACTCTTATAAGGGCATCACTCGAGATGCTCCTTCTCCCAGTGACTCCCACTCAGCAGTGAGAGGAGGGTCATGACAGTGCACAGAAACATCATATAAGAAAATAAAAATCTCACTGTTCTTCAGTGAGTTTCATGCCTTTGGCTACTTTTCTGCTTGGTGTCATTTGGATTTTTTTGGTAAAGTTGGGGCTTTTCAGACAAGAGAAAAACACCAGCAGCTGCTGTGTTGTAAAACAGCCTCCTTCCCCTACAGGGAGACACTGCTGGGACTGGGCATCCTCACATCCCCTCCATCCCTCAGCCAGCTCCAACCCCTCCATCCCACAGCCAGCTCCATCCCCTCCATCCCACAGCCTTCCATGGCATTGCCAAGCAGAGTTGGCACAACTGATGTCAGTTCTCTGGGTCCATGAACCTTCCCTGACTGGTGACTCTGAAATTGTGGTTTTCAGGCTGTTCACAGGGCAGGGAAGGACAGACTGACTTACATGATGAAGGCTGTGATTCCGACGGACCAAATATCAGTCTGTGGGAGGGCTCCTTGCTCTGTCAGCAGTTCTGGAGCTGGAAAAGCAAACTGGTGTGAGCCCAGCTCTGCTCCAACACCCTGAGAGCATCACAAAGGCAGTGGGTACTTTTGCTGCCTTGCCAAGAGTGAGGAAGCAGCAGCTCCCAGGACAGGGAGCTGGTTGAGGTAAGACACCTTTGTAGATGCTGATTGCAGTGAAACCCTGAGGACCTCAGGCCTGTACTCACCCATGGTTTCGACATAGTCGGTGCACTTGTCGTTGGTAATGAATTTGTCCTGTGCGTAGAACTGGGCGTTCCCAAAATCCACCAGTTTCAGCAGGTTGGGCTCGGTGATGATCATGTTCTCAGACCTGAGGTCCAGGTGCAGGATGTTGTGAGCGTGGAGGTACTCGGTGGCACTGAGGATCTGCCACAGGTAGTCCCGGACCTCCACCTCGGAGTACGACGTCCTGGTGGGAGAAAGGACACCTCTGTTTCTTGTTCCCTATCTCTGTGCCCAGGAATGCCTTTCTACACCCCTGGATGTTTAATCCCATGAGAGTCAAGAGGAAACAGCTCTTCATTTAGCAAATCTGTTGTGTATGGAGAGGCCAACCCATCCTGTGAGACAAATTTACAGACTCAAGAAGCTCAGGAGGTTGTAGAGCTGCGTGTCAGAGAAAGCCAAAGTGGGTTGGGCAGAAATCAAAATGCAGATCTGATGCCCACCACTGCCTCTCTTTTAACCACAGGCTTTTATCAGATCCATTTCCTGACATTCTGAGAAACAACGTGGAGGAGAAATGAGATTTTTCTGAGTAACCTCCATGTTGTGGGAGGTGGGATTTCATATCAAGGACTGTAAACTGCTTTCAGTGTCTCAACTAGGCAGCCCTGAATTGTCCCAACCTTACAGGGAACTCAAGTAATTTTTGAGTCTCTCATGAAGCTGCTTCACAAATCCCACGTGCAATGACAACAAGCTGGAACAGATGGAGAGGGATGATCCAGTTTGCCAGGAGAAAGCAAGAGGTGTTTTCCAGCCCTGAGGGGAAAAGCCTCCCATGTTATTACCGTAGTGCCAAGCAGTGGAGCAGCTCTGGTCCCACACACATCTCCTGGATCAACACCAAGTGCCGTGGGCTGACATAGGCTCCCTTCAGCTGGGCTATGTTTGTGTGGTGGAGCTTCCTCAGGACCTGGTACTCCAGGAGCACGGTCTGCTTGTCCTCTTGCCAGTAAGGGATGATTTTTGCGGCCAAAGTCTTGCCACTCACTTTCTCCCTGCACTGTCGGACGATACTGAATCGCCCCCTGGTACAAAGGAACACAAAGGGACATTAAACTCCTCTGCTGCTCCTGGAAGAGCCAGGAACTTCTGTTCTTTAAAAGCACCAGGATCCTATGCTGTGCTTTTCATCCACACCCGATGGGGACTTATTGCATCCATTGTCACAGTTTGCACTTCCTCCTGTGTCTCTAAACTCTACAGTCACTTTAAATTACAGGAGTGAGAGCTTAACTCCTTTGGAGAGACAGAAGGACAGAGTCAGTGCCCCTCTTCTGGGCAGAGAAAGTTGAATCCCAACTCCCCTGACTGAAACTGGTACCTGCAAAGGCTGATGCAGCAAGGACAGGAAGCTCTGTTAGCCCTGGGCTCACTTCAGGAGATATCAAGTGACTGCCCTGCTGCCCAGCTGGGATAGGACAAGGGCTGATGGTTTTAAACTAAGAGAGCTGATCTAGACTGGATATTAGGATGATTTTTTTTTACAATGAGTGTATAAAACATTGGCACTGGTTGCCCAGAGAGGTACCAGATGCCTCACCCCTGGAAATGTTCATGGTCAGACTGGGCTGACCTGGTTGAAAATGTCCCTGCTCATTGCAAGGGGTTTGGACCAGATGACCTTCAAAGGTCCTTTCCAACCCAGACCATTCTCTGATTCTGTGACCCTTTTGCTCTCCCAAAAAATCCACAGCTAAACCCTACCAAACCAAGGTGAAGGTCACTCAGCCAGCACTGTGTGGGTATCACTGTGGAGGGGTTTTCAGCAACCCAGTGTGACACTTGCTGAGCAGCACCTTTGTACATGTCCCTTTTCTAAACTCCAGCCACACAGAATCATAACATCATAGAAACACAGAATCCTAGCATGGTTTGGGTTGGAAGGGACCTTAAAGACCATCTAGTTCTACCCCCTGCCATGGGCAGGGACACCTTCCACTAGCCCAGGTTGCTCCAAGCCCTGTTCAACCTGGCCTTGGACACTTCCAGGGATGGGGCGGACACAGCTTCTCTGGGCAACCTGTGCCAGGGCCTGCCCACCCTCACAGTAAATAATTTAACCCTAATCTCTAATCTAACCCTGCTGTTTTACAATCTGAAGCCATTCCCCCTTGTCCTATCACTGCATGGTCTTGTAAAAAGTCCCTCTCCATGTTTCTTGTAGCTCCTTGGGGTCCTGGAAGGCCTCAGTTAGCACATCCCAAAGCCTCCTCTTTTCCAGGCTGAACAATCCCAATTCCCTCAGCCTTTCCTCCTAGGAGAGGTGCTCCATCACATGTGGGATTTCCCTCTGGATCACAGAGAGCTCAGCTGGATTCTCTACCTTTTGATCTCTGTTTGGAAGGCGTAGGTCTGGGAGGTTGGGAAAGGCTCGGATGGTGTGATTATTTCACTCTCCTCCTCAGTAGCAGGTGATGATGGGACGTCCTGCGTTGCAGCACGAAGCTCTGCAGAGAGAAAGGGACAGGGATTACATGGGAAAACAGCCCTGTGTGGAAAATGGGGCCTTTCTGAAGCTCCACTGTCTATGAACAACAGCAAAGGCGACAGCAGAGCTCTCTCCAGGTGACTGTGCAGCCTGAACCCCAGCTGTGGCACCCAGTGCTGTTGGAATGCAGCAGATTCTGCTCTTTCCACCCAGAAATCCCCTGGTGTGGCCACTCCAGGCAGTATGAGGTGGATTGTGGATTGTGTGCTATGATATATCAAACATCTGAGCCACTGGTTCACTTCTCACATTAACAAGTCACCAAATCATGGCAAGACACTGACAAAGAATTAGAAACTTCTTTTGGGTGGATATTTCAGGGCAGCAGCTGAAAGTTGTTGCTCTGGTTCTGCTGTGTGGCTGTGTCCAAGTGCTCCCTGAAATAATAAATCATCTCTTTAAAGCATCTGCTTGGACAGGCTGGACACATTGAGATACATTCATGGATCCCGGACCAAGGGAAAGCAGAGGATTCAGGGTGAGTTAAAAATATCTCTGTGAACTGATTTTCACATAGCAATCCTCTCCACTGGGAGGAAATTCCAGTTAGACCATCCTTCTGTTTCCTAGCATGCTACAAGGATATGTTTGCTGTGGGGTTACGGATTTCTTAATTTTAAAAACATGCGAGTTGTACAGTGCAGTCAAACAAGTGGAAAAAAAAATGGTAAATCGGGCTTTCTTTACTTCAGAGACAAAATACAGCTGGAAAATTCACCACAGAAGGACAATAATTCCCAGAGGAAAACACCAGAATAGAGACATTAACTACTGAATTTAGGATTTTGTCCATGGTTTTTATGGTGCAGGGTTTTTACCAGTGGCAGATCTATATCAAGAGATAAATGCCTCCAGTCACACATTTATGGTCCAAGATCCCTTTCTACATCATCTCTAATTAAAACTAAGAGTTTCTTCAACAGGTAATCTACAGTTCCCAGGTTTTTATTGTATTATTAAATTTCATATCTATTCACATACTGTTTCTATTTACATAATATTATTATCTTATTGGCTTTTCTGATATATTTATACGTATTCCCCTGTGTCCAGAACTAGAAAATAATGTAATTTTAGATACAGAAGCCTAAACCACCCTAAGCCAAGTGGAATTGGCCTTGATTCACCTGCTCTTGACTTCTGGGCCCACATCTAAAAGGGTGCAGTGGTTTTGATGCAGGAAGGTCCCGATGGTTTCTCGGGATTCGATCTTACCCGCTGGATCCTTCCCGGTGATTCTGACGCTGGCAGACGGGTCGCTGTAGGGCCCCATTCCTGCTTTGCTGGTGCAGGCAATCCTGAAGTGGTAGATGAACCCCTCGGGCAGATTTTTGGCATAGTAGCAGCAGTCAGCCAGGTCAGAAGCAAGAGTTGTCCACTCCCCATCTTGACCAAGGAAAGAGAGGAAACACACCAGGACTCAGTTACGATGACCACACTGGGTTGTGGGATTTTTTTTTTTTTGAGGTTTTGGGTTTTATTGGGGTTGTTTTTCCACCAGCTTTACTTATGTGCTGGGAATATGAAGGAAAAAGGCCCATTCCAATCCCTTAACTTTCTGTGATGCTCTGAATCTTGTAGAATGAAAGAAAAACCAACTTGTCATGGCCAACTTTTGTGCATGGTGACGCTCACTGTGTTACTCTTCTCTGAAATCAGCTGCTTTGTATCTGACGAGTCCAAGTTGTGCAATATTCTGTCAGAAAATGAGGAAACTTCCCTGTGTTCTCTCTGTTTATCTGATTCCTGCACCAATCTCTAATGCAAATATGCATCAAGAACTCCAAACAGAACCCCCAGCTGAATCACTGATTTGCTTTTCCTTTTGGCCCTCTCCTGAACCCAGCTGAGGCCATGAGGATTCCCGGACAGAACTATCCACCAACACCCTCCAAGCAAAGCCAGTGTTTGAAATGCAGGCAGTTTTCCTCAGCTTTTATGAAACTCAGATGATTTCTCAGGGAACTGAAATTGCAGGTGTGTTCTGGACTCATAATTTATGGGACTAAGGTGGGAAGGAGAAAATCACCAGCAAACATTTAATGACCTTTCATCTCACACGATGCTCTGTCTCATTTTTCGCTGCTGTGCTCAAGGCTGAACTCAATTCCTTTCAATTGCCTGAGATTAAACCCATCCTTTCATTCAAATAGACACTGGTAGAGGCCTCAAACCTTTAAATAAGCAGTAATTCACCACCCAAACCCAAAGTATTGATGACTTAGCAGGGTACTGGCTGAATCTGGGGATGTGTTTGCACAAGAAGGAGCAGACACAGCTTAGAAATCGAGAAAAGCATCTGCAGAAGCAGCTGGCAAGAGCCTGTTGTCAAGTCATGGATAAAACAAGGAATTTTGCTTCCTAATTGGAACACCTTGTGTTTCCATCCTCCCCAAAGTGTGCCCTGTTGTTGTGTCAAAAAAGGAATAACAAAAAGAAAGTGGCATTGGAGAAAAAGTGACTCACACCAGCTCCAGGGGGCTGCAAATTGATAATCCACAAAGGAGTGTCTGTATGTTTGGGGAATTGGATGAAGGAACACGGATCCAAAGGGCTGTGTTTGTGTGACTGCAGCAGGAATTGCTATCAGACATCACATTCACAGTCACAACAGCAAAGCAGTCCCAGGAGAGACGGGACAGGCTTTGGGATTTGGTTCAAAGCTTTTGTAACCAAACAGGAAAACATCCACTTTTGACAAGGGCACGTCATGACAGGACAAGGGGGAATGGCTTTAAACTGTAAGAGGAGAGATTTAGATTAGATGTCAGGAAGAAATTCTTGCCTGTGAGGGTGATGAGGCCCTGGAACAGGTTGTGCCCAGAGAAGCTGTGGCTGCCCCATCCCTGGAAGTGTCCAAGGCCAGGTTGGAGCAACCTGGGATAGTGGAAGGTGTCCCTGCCCGTGGCAGGGGGTGGAACTGGATGGTCTTTAAGGTCTTTTCCAAACCAAACCTTTTTATAATCCCATGATTCTATGATTCACTGACTTCCTTAACCCTTGGAAGAGAACATCAAAGGGGTGATGCAGTATTGCCAAACTTTGGCTATTTATTCTGGCTGTTTGCCCTGAGCTCCCTCCATAATCAATGGGAAAAGAAAGCACGGCTGTTCAGCAGAGGATGAATTCCCTTTTTGACAGGCCATCTTTCTCCACAACAGACTGTCCAGAAAGTCTGGATGCAGGATGATGTTGTTTGCTGGGCATTATTAGTGTATCATGTTTCCAAATTACTCAAGGCTGTGTATCAGGCACCAACCAGGCATTTTTTTTCTGTAGCTGCTCACTTTTTGGTCATAACTTTCATGTGACCTAGTTGGAGTCACACTTCAGCGAAGCCTTGGTATGAGAATTCATATTTTCCAGGCTGATTTATTTAGCACAACACTTAACTTTCAGATTTCATTCCTAACTCAAAACCAGGGAATTAATCAGGCTGTTTCTGAATAAAAATAAAATATCCAGCTGGTGAAGGGATCACAGAAAGCGAGATGTTCCCTGGGAGGTGTAAGGACAGCACTTTACCTTCACTCTTGCACTGGATGGTGTAATGGACAGGGGTGTTGGTCTCCACAGGTTTCCAGACCACCTGCACTCCATCCTTGTAGACTTCCACGATGTCAGGGGGTGGAGGGCTGGGAGGAACTTCTGTGGAGAGGAGGCACAAAACCCAGGGACTGTTAAGAGCAGCACTGCTGTGAATCAAAACCCTACACCCAGCATGTCTCAGTTACAGATATTATTTTTATATATATATATGTATATATTTTATATGTGTATATAAGCACACATCTAGAGAAACAGCACTTTAACCCAACCTTAATTTTAACTCAGTATTGAAGTTTTGTCTTGGAGGGCTCTGAATCCAGAAGAGTGAAGAAGAGGGAGTGAACCCTGCAATATGTGCCACGCTACCAGACAGCAAAGGCTACAGCAAAGTGCACTACAGCAAGGGAGAGATTGTCCTCTGCATCTCCCTGCAGAAATCTCACCTCAAAGGTATTTACAGGTGGCATTTTGGGGCAGAATTATTTACAACACCTATTTCTGTAGCTGCTTCTCCTCTTACCTGCTTTTCTTATGACACAAGAGGTGGATGCTGAGCCCAGGGAGTTTGTGGCCACACAGGTGTAAATACCAAAATCCTCAGCATTAACAGAGAGGATAGTCAAGAGCTGGAAGTGTTTGAGGGTGGACGAGATGAGGATGCGGCTGCTGCCCTGGACAGGGATCCCGTCTGAAAAGCAGAAGGTAGGAGAGATAAGCACCCTGAAAATTGATACCAAGGTGTCTAAACCCCTCCCTGCACCCTCGTCCCAGAGGTCAGGGACTCCCTGGAGGGGTGCCAGCGTCACCTCTGAACCAGCTGACGTGCAGGGAGGGGTGAGCTGCCGTCCGGCACGACAGCGTCACGCACTGTCCCACGGCAGCAGCCTGGTCCATGAGCTCCTCAGTGAAGGATGGGGCTGCAGGGAAGAGGGAAAAAACATCAATTCAGAATAGCCAGGAGAGCTGTGTGTGGAAAACAAATGCATGCAGGACATCAGAAAACAATTTTAATTGTTCGAGAACATCTCCGGTTCTTGCTCTGTCATCCTTTTGACCACCCAATGGAGAATCCCCTGGGCCTGCCCAGCCCTGCTGGTACAGCTGAGGCAGCAGAACAGCTCAGACCAGAGAGGGATCATGTCACAGCAAGAGTGTTCCCCTGGCCGAGCCTAAATGTGGGGGCAAAACTAAATGATGGCGTTTCAAGGGCGAGGGGATCGAATAGGGCAAGAGTAAAAAGGCCTCCAGTTGCAGCAGGAGAGGTTTAGATTGGATTTTAGGGAGACTATCTTCATGGAAAGGGTTGTCATGGATTGGAACAGGGCAGTGGTGGAGTCACCATCCCTGGAGGGGTTTAAAAGATGTGAGGATGTGGCACTTGGGGACAGGGTTTACTGGTGGCCTTGGCAGTGCTGGGGGATGGTTGGGCTCGATGACCTCAGAGGCCTTTGCCAACCTAAATGATTCCATGATCAGGATAACATAAGAAGAGATGAAAGCTGGATATGAAAAGAGGAAAAACCCCACAGAGCATCCAATCTGCTCCTGTCTCCATGGCAAAGGGGGAGCTCAGGTTTTCTTCTGTGCTTCTCCAGGGTTTTTTTTCCTCCACAGTTTCCAGGAACTGCCAGCCTCCCACACCTGCCCTTCCCAGTGTTTGCCTGGGCTCTGCTGAGTACTGGGACATTAACCTGACCTTGGGAAGTGCTCCTGACAGAGTCAAGGGGAAACTTGTGTGGGAAAAAGCAAGTTCAGCTTTGCTGATGCACCGTTTGGGGCTGCCCCATCATTTTTCATTCCTTAGCTCTGTAGCAGCAAATCTGCACTTAACACATCCATCCATTCAGGACTGGATCATAGGGATTCACAGTTCCCTGCCTCTGCCTTCCCACCCATGGATACTCCTTTTGTTCTCTTTCTAGCTTACACCTGGATTTTATTCCTTTGCAGTTGCTTCCTGGAATGGCTGCAATTTGCAAACAGTGCCATGACAGGTTTTATCAAGGTCCTAGTTGTGATGTAGACACAGGACACTGGCTCAGGTTGCATGAGTTGGTCCAGGTCATCTCCAGGTACTCATTGCAGATCCATCCTTAGAAATTGGCCTCACACAGCACTGGGATTTTCATTACTGATACTTCATTGCTAGAACAAACCACTGGCTTGTGCCACAGCAATACCTTTCTCCTTTGGCATGAGGCTTGGTAACTTGAATGAGGAGAGTGTTGATTTCCTCTTCAGAGATCCTTCAGCCCCTATTAACAGCTCTCTTTCTGCTGCCTCACTTCCCAGCTCACCAAACTCTGTTTTGAGAAAGGATGAGGAGTCATTCGAGGCCACCCTTCTCCCCGTGGCAGCAATTTACAGTGACAGCTCTGCCATCCACACAGAAATAGCTCATCACTCACAGGTTCCCTCATTAACCAGCCTTCAATCAGCAGGGAAGGCTGTGACAGCTGTTACAAACACAATAACATCCTGGAAGAACAGGGAATATTTGGGGATGGCAGAGAAGAAAGGACAGATCCTGATGTCCAGTAGCCAGGGGGACTTCACCAGCTTCTCCCAGTCACTTTATTTTTTTGAGATTTGCCATGGTCAGATGATAACTGCAACAAGGAAAGCATCACCCAGCCCTGATCTGCCTTTGTGCAACCTCAGACAGGGGAATCTGAGCCCCTTCCATCAGTGCATTAGCCCATCTGCCTCTGCACTGGAGTAACCCAGTAACAGAGGGGTAGTGGTGGAGCTGGAAACTGCTGATTTCATAACCTGCCATGGCCAGTTTTACAATCCCAGTCTAACCACAGCCTCAGACATGCCAGGGGAAAAGGAAAAGGCAGCTTTATCAGAGCCCAGTCATAGCAGAAAATCTATATAGGAGAAGAGTGAAACACTTACCTTCCTCTGCCTCTGGCTCAGGAGATGTCTTTCCTTTTAGGATTCTTGAGATGTGGGCAACAGAAGCCTTTACTTTCTTCTTCAGACTCTGCTCCACCGACAGCTCCACTGAATGAGACCTGGCATATGGCTTAAAGAGTCCTGGCTTGGAGTGGAAGGAGCTTTTCTGCTTCCCACTGGAGTCCTTTTGGGAGCTGTACATTTCTTTATGGCTCTCTGCCCCTTTCCCCATGGCTACTAAGTGAGCTGCCTTTGAATCCTCAGATATTTCCAAATGGTTCTTCCTGTTCTTGTCCTCTGCCTGTTCCCTGATGCACAGCCTTTTGTCCTTGTGCAGATGCCCTGCAGGAGGGGACCTTGCCCTTTCACCAAGGGGAATAAACCGCCTACGGACCGGCTTGGGCGAAGGCTTCTTGTAGGACAGGAATTCAAACGGGAAATAGACAATGTCATACAAGTCAGAGAAGTTCAAGTAGGCAGGTTCCACCTCTGAGATGTCGAATTTTTGAGGGCCGCTGCCAGTGCTGGGGGCTTCGTCTGACAGGTCTTTGATTTTCACCAAAGACACTTCCGGGTGTTTCCCGGTGTCCTTGACCACTGGCACCCGACTGGGCCTTTTCCCGGTGTCCAGGCTCTCTGTTGAGGAGACGCTGGCTCGGCTGGAGGTGGGGCTCTCGAACGCCAAGTCCTCCAGGTGTTCACACTCATGGGGAACTGTCTGTGCTCCCTGCCCTTCCAGCACCTCTGACTCCTCCCTCACGGCAAGGTAGGGTTCTTCAAGGTCATCCTGCTCAGAGATTTCTCCTCTTCCACCCTGTTTCATGGAAGGGAAGGAGGTGTCCGTGGGTGCTTGGCTACCCGGGCCTTTGTAGAGCACCTCCGTGGGAGGAGAGATGTGCCTTCTGCTCTCCTTCTCTCCAGAAACTGACTCTGCCCAAACATTCATCTCTTCGGAGAGGGAAACCATCTCGTCCACCAAGCCCTCCAGCACAGCAGACTCCTCATCACTGTAGAAGGAAGACCTGTGATGTGACCGCTCCCGACCGCGATCCCCGTGGAGCGACGGTGGGACAGCTCTTCCAGCCTCAGAACTTCCCCTTTCCAAGGCAACGCCTCCACCCCCACCAGGAACCTTTGGATGTTCCTCATATTCTACTTCACGGACTGGAGCTGGAGCAACTTCTGGTTGTGCAGCAGTTAATGCACCCCCCAGACCGTCAGAAATCCCAGCACCGGGACGGGCAGCCCTGTGCTGCTCCAACACTCCATGTCCAGCCTTGGGGAAAGGAGCAGCCAAGGCCTGTGCAGCTGCTGGGCTTCCACCTGCTGTCACAGCAGCTCTCACCTCGCTGTGAAGGGGTGGAGGCTCCTGTTTTTCCCTCTCACAGACTGAAGGGATAACAGCGCTTTGGGAGGACACCGTTCCCGCTGTGTGTCTGCCCTCTGGAATGGCATGGCCTTCAGGAATCTTCTGGGGTTTGGCTCCTTCGTGGGCCAAGCTGGGAGCAGCCTCTGGGACAGCAGAGCTTTCGCCCCTCAGAGCAGCAAAGCCCTCCTTGCTGTGAGCTGGCCCTTCCCTCTCAGCCCGTGCTCCATCGGGAGTCGGCACTGATTGTGGGGGTGGGACTTTGGGAGCAGCGAGGTGCTCTCCTTTCAGGGTGGCTGCTGCTGTGAATCCACGAACAGGAGCCTTCCTGTGAGCTTGGCTTTCACCAGCATGGGCTGATGGTGGAGTGACTCCTGCCACACCCAGCCCTTCATCCTCCAGGACAGCAGATCTCACCTCTTTGTGGGTCCTCACCTTCTGAGCAGCCCCTTCACCAGCTGTGAGGGCACCTGGCCGCTTGCCCAGCGAGACAGCAGCTGCTGGGACACTTTTCCCAGGAATTTCCTGACCTCTGCCTTTACTTACGGGGAGTGAACGGGTTTCTGTCTGTTCTGCTGGAGCAGCAGAGCTTTCATGCTCCATGGGTTCAGACTCAGCAACGCCGTGAGCAGAGGTCTTTTCATCTGAATGTTTCTGCCTCTTGTCCTTCCAAGGTGGAACTGGGGCCGTCCTTTTGATCAGCAACGTTCCACCTTTCTGATCCGGGTGGATGTCAGAGCTGTGAGCAGACTCCTGGGGCAGACACACTCCTCCCTTACTCGTGGGAGGTGACTCAGAGGTGGCCTCTGACTGTGTCAGGGTTGCAATGGACTCTTTGCCCTCCCGAAAAGCAGCATCAGAGGAAGATTTACCTTCCATGCTCTCGTGTTTTTGGGCTGCTGACGCAGTGACATCTGAGCACTGGGCAGTCAGAATGGGGCTTTTGCCTTCCAAATCTTCAACACCCTCCTCAATCTCAGTAGCTTTGGACTTCTTCAGCAAAGGTTTCCTATTTTCACTCCTGTGAGGTGACACTGCAAGTCCCTCAGCCTGTTGCATAAAAGCAGCTGGGCACCCATCACCCTCACAGTGTGTGGAAGGAGGGGGCTTCTCTCCTGAACAATCCTTGCTGGCTCTCCTGACGTCCTCCTGCTTTGATGTGTCCGCAGAACATCCCTTGCCGGGCCCTGCAGAAATGTCACAGTGGTCACTGCCCTCGGGGCAGCTCTCCTGGGACAGGACATCACAGTCTTCTTCCAAGATATCCTGTTCCCTCAGTGACCTCGAGGCTCTCAGCCTGTAGTCGTCCAGGGAGCGGCTCCTGCTGGCACCGGCGATGGCAGGGTGTGGTGGTTTCCTGGCGGTGTCAAACGACGCCGATTTGGTCAAGGATCCCAGCAGGCCTTCCCTGCGATCATCTCCTTCCTCCTCCTCCTCTTCCAGCTCAAACTGCTCCAGGAGGGGCTCATGGAGACCGCTGAGGGGCACCTTGGAATATCCAGCTTTCCGGAAAGTCCTCCTGGCTCTGTCCAGGTGCCTCCTGAACTCCCTGCCTGGCGAGGAAGGCGGCCTCGCAGGGAGCTCCGTTGCTTGGCTGTAGAAAGTGCTTTTGATGACACTCTGCCTGGGCACAAAGGCAGATGGCTGTTCTGTGCCATCCCTGGCCTTTTCAATTCTCTCCCTGTCAGCTGGTTTTTCTTTCTGAGCGGGATGTGATGTGCTTTCCCTGGAAACCCTCATGGATGAAGGCTCTGCTCTCTCATCTCCAACACTGGGATGGAGCCCCTCCTCTTTCTCCTGGAAGACACTTGCCACAAGCTCTTTGCTTTCTGTAGGTGATTTGTCCCCCACCTCAGCTTTCATGGAAGCATATTTCCTCCTCATGGGTTTTACTGGAGGGACCGGTGTCTTGGAGTGCTTCTGCTCACTGGAACGTTTTGGAGGCTCCTGGTAACTTGGCGCATCAAACACGGGCAGGTGCAGCTCGGGGGTGGAGCCAAAGTGCCTTTTCGTGGGGAAATTCGAGTTCTCGTTGTCTGAAGAGGAGCCACTGGTGCTGGATGAAGTGCTTTCCTCGATGAGGTGGCGGGAGATGGCCAGGGAGCTGTTGTCGTGGGTCCTTTCCAGGATTTCTGGGATAGACCTCATTACCAGGATGGATTTGTAGCACATCAGAGACCGCTGGGAAGCCAAACAAAATAACAGCACAGTGAGGTGGGAATGTGGTGGGAGGATGGCAAAGCAAATATAGATAACAAAAATATAGATTATGTAGATTATTATAGAATATTGTATATTATACATTATTGATCATTATATATAATATATAGTATAGAGTAAATAGTATAATATGCAATACAATAAAAGTGTATACTTATATATTATACACTATAAATAACCTATAATATGTATTATTACATAGTATATAAATTATTATAGATTATTATATAGATTATATAACAAAAATATAGATTAAGGGCAACTCACCTGCCACTTGCTCCGAGCCACAATGAATTTGAGCTGCTTAGTGTTAATGAAATGAGCTGCTTCGAGGGGGACGTTGTGCTGCCAGGTGGAAGGAGAGGAAAATCATTGGTTCAAAAAAAACCTGACTTCATTTCCTAATAACTCTCTTGGATTCCCTCCTTCCAGAAATGTTTAATTTAGGAAAGTCACAACGGACCAAGTGCTACAATCCCTTCATAGTTAAATTGCAGACAAAATCGGTGATAAAAGTAAGCCTTGTTCAATACCTGTCATTAAATCCTTTTTTTTTTTTTTTTTTTTATTGTTTATTTTTAGCTCTTTCCCCTCAGTGATTTAAGGCATTGGAATATAAACCAGAACTTCGCCCTGCAAAGGGGCAAGAGGACAAGAGGAAACAGCCTGAAGTTGAACCAGGGGAGGTTAAGTTTGGATATGAGGGAAAATTTCTTCCTGGAAAGGGTTATCAAGGTGGAGTCACCATCCCTGGAAGGATTTAAAAGATGTGGCACTTCTGGATATGGTTAAGTGGTGGCCTTGGCAGTGCCAGGTTAATGGTTGGACTCCATGATCTTAGAGGGCTTTTCCACCCTAAATCTTTATCCTTTGGAAGGAATGATATCCTGGCATGTAAACCCCTTCCTGGGGAGCCATTCCTGAGCTCCTCTGTGGCACAGAAAATAGGAGACCATGGAAAAAAACCCCAACAAACCAGCAAATATCCAGCAGCTTTAACAGCTGTCCCTCCCAAAGTCTCTCCCAACCTCATTATTGTAATGACTAATAAAGGACCAGGACACACTTACCATGAACCACTTGTGGGACAGACAGTCCAAAGCACTAGGCCTGGCTCTGGTAAGAGAACAGATGGGCATTTTAGTAGGAAGTCACTTCCAAAGGGACCACAAGATCCTCCTGAAGGTGCTGCTACACATGGGCACACGTGCTCACCATGGAGTGTGCCCTCAGGCTGCTGGTTTGGAGCTGAGAAGCCCACAAGGCAGACAGCAGCTTTCAGCCCCAAGGTTTCCTTCCCTTGAGGGGAAATAATCCTCCTTTTTCTTTCCCAGACTCCTCACACATCCTCAGCAAGAGGCTGTGTCCAGAGCAGCCCTAAGAGGGACTTCGCCTCTTTAGGTGGCCAGAGAGAAAATAGCTTTGGCAGGAGGCAGAAAGAATAGAAATGAAATTAAAAAGCAAGGGCCTGCAAACGTGCCTTCAAGCCTCCTTTTGTGCCTCAAATTGCTTAATGAATATGGTTAATGTTATTTAATTCTCTCATAACTCACTCTACACCGGTCCTTGCCCTTCCCACTTGTCTCTGTCGTTCCAGAAACTCACCCGCCTGGAGGAGGTAGGGAGCAAAGGACATCACCACCCCAATTTGGCAAATATCCAAACTGTGGTTTGGGTAATGGGGAATAACGAGGGAAAATTAGGGCAGAACCTCAGCTTTCTATGAGAAAACAGCTCTGATGAGCTGAGATGTGCCCTGCTGAGACACCAACACCCCTGCACGGGGCTGCAGGAAGCACAGGAGGAGCTTCAGTCATTTGGGGTTCAGTTAAGGAGGAAGGAGGCACTATTTGGGGTTCAGTTAAGGGAGGAAGCACAGGAGGACACTCATTTGGGGTTCAGTTAAGGGAGGGAGCACAGGAGGACACTCACTTGGGGTTCTGCTGCAGGATCCCTTTCATGAAGTCCTTTGCATCCTCACTCAAGTGAACGACGTCGGGAATGGTCCACGAAATTTCCCCGCTCTGGATGTTCAGGAGGGTTTTCCTGTCGTTCTCCCCAGCAAACGGAGATTTGCATGTGAGGCTTATTTGTTGGACACCACAAAATTAAAGGAGACAGGTTTTAGATTTTTGTTTGCTGTTCAAATGACTTTTTTTTTTTGAGGGACTCTGCCTGTGGGACTTGCTTGTGAGCAAGGTGCTCATTAACAGATCATCGTTCACCCCAGCATTTGGTGGCACTTGACTGAATCATTGTTTATTTGGGATAATAGTAAGATAAGGAATGAAGGCACAGCTGTAGTGGGGTGCTGGCTAAAACAGGAAAGGGGGAGGCTGAACCTCATCCACTGTTCCCGTTGGAATGCAGCTCTCAGGGACAACAACCAAAGCCCTGGGAACCCAGGAAAGGAGGAAAACACAAAATAAATTGTCTTTATCATAGAAAGACTCAATGCTTCACTCAAATCCCCCACTTGAAGACACTGGAGGGCTCTGATGGACAAAGGATTATTAAATGAATCTTTAAAAGAAGATTTATTTACCTTAAATAGGTGATGACTCCAACAGCCCTGAGGAGAAAGGGAGCACAAATGTCAGGTTTTTGTCACTATTTATCTGTCCTTCTCAAGCACACAGCACCTCTTCCTGCCACTGGACACTCCCTTCTCAAGGAAAATAAATCCCAAAAGCTATTTTCCCCTTTAAGTTTTTTTTCCCCCTTTAATATTTTTTAAAATTATTCTCAAGCAATCTTCCAATTTTGAAGGAGAGATAAAGGAAAAGGCTCAGAATACTTTTTTTTTTTTTTTAGAGTTTGTTTGCCTTTTCTAGAAAGCCTTTTAGGATCATTCTCCCTTGTTGCTGCCTCTAACAGAGATCATCTCCTGTAAGATGCTCCTTTGCATCTATGAGATGTCAGAGTTCAATTATGGCAGGGAAAAAAAAAAAAAAAAAAAAAAAAGAAAATAGACAGAAGGAGCTTTGAAGAGCCCTGATGGCTTTTGGATTCTCAGGGTTCACTTCCAGCTTCCTGTGTAATTATCGCTGCTCCATTTACTTATTAACAGTAAATGGAGATTGAGGCCATCAAGGGCCCGAAAAAGCTTTTTAGGAAGATGGGAGATGAGCAGATATTACCAGATATCAGTTGCCTTTGACACGGGTAAGAGAGAGACAATCTCTGGGGCAACGAACTCCGGGGAGCCGAATTTGCTGTACTGGGGGTCGAAGGGGGTGATCCTCTGAGCAAACCCAAAGTCACAGATCTTCAGGTCCTCCCTCTCGGGGTAAACCATGAGGATGTTCAGGGGCTGTGAAAGGAAATGAAAGGGAAGAGGGAAAGGAGAGGAAAGAGAAAGGAGAGGAAAGGAAAGGAGAAAAAGAGAGGGGAGGAGAAAAGGAGAGGGGAAGGTTGGGGAAGGGGAAGGGGAAGGAAAGGGAAGGGAAGGGGAAGGGGAAGGGGAGGGAAGGGAAGGGAAGGTTTGGGAAGAGAAGGTTTGGGAAGGGAAGGGAAGGTTTGGGAAGGGAAGGTTTGGGAAGGGAAGGGAAGGTTTAGGAAGGGAAGGGAAGGTTTGGGAAGGAAGGTTTGGGGAAGGGAAGGTTTGGGAAGGAAGGTTTGGGAAGGTTTGGGAAGGGAAGGTTTGGGAAGGGAAGGTTTGGGAAGGTTTGGGAAGGGAAGGTTTGGGAAGGGAAGGTTTGGGAAGGGAAGGTTTGGGAAGGTTTGGGAAGGGAAGGTTTGGGAAGGTTTGGGAAGGAAGGTTTAGGAAGGAAGGTTTGGGAAGGTTTGGGAAGGGAAGGTTTGGGAAGGAAGGTTTGGGAAGGAAGGTTTGGGGAAGGTTTGGGAAGGGAAGGTTTGGGAAGGGAAGGTTTGGGGAAGGAAAGTTTGGGAAGGTTTGGGAAGGAAGGTTTGGGGGAAGGAAGGTTTGGGAAGGGAAGGTTTGAGGAAGGTTTGGGAAGGTTTGGGAAGGTTTGGGAAGGGAAGGGTTTGGGAAGGTTTGGGAAGGTTTGGGAAGGGAAGGTTTGGGGAAGGTTTGGGAAGGGAAGGTTTGGGAAGGGAAGGTTTGGGAAGGGAAGGTTTGGGAAGGTTTGGGAAGGGAAGGTTTGGGAAGGTTTGGGAAGGGAAAGGGAAAGGGAAAGGGAAAGGGAAAGGGAAAGGGAAAGGGAAAGGAAAGGAAAGGAAAGGGAAGGGGAAGAGGGAAGGAAAGGGAGAGGAGAGGAAGGGAAGAGGGAAAGGGAAAGGAAGGGAAGAGGGAAGGGGAGGGAAGGGAAGGGAAAGGAAAGGAAAGGGAAGGGAAGGAGGGAAGGGAAGGAAGGGGAAGGAAGGAAGAGGGAAGGGAAGGAAAGGAAGGGAAGGAAAGGAAAGGAAAGGAAAGGAAAGGAAAGGAAAGGAAAGGAAAGGAAAGGAAAGGAAAGGAAAGGAAAGGAAAGGGGAGAAACTTTAAAGTAGGGAATATTTTCCTTTTTAAGTAAGAAAATAATTGATAAATAACTAAATAATTCAAACAGAGAACAGCCATTCCCTGGCAAAGAAGAGGCTGTGAAAAGCCGGTCATTGCACATTACCTTGATGTCCAAGTGAAGGATGTTGTTGTCATGAAGATATTTGAGTCCTTCCAAAATTTGCTTGATATACAATTTGACCTAAGAATCAAATTAATTATTAAATAATTATTAAACAGTAATAGTAAAGAGGAGGGTCCCTGATTCCACCTGTATTTGTAGCATATGAGAGAGGGAGACATGGAACCAGAAATACTTTTAAAACTGGAATTAACTTCTTTAATTAGTCTTGCAGTTGGAGTCAGATGTGAACCAAACATCACCCATCACCCTGTGGAATGAAGCTGAGCCTCGTGTGTGACCCCTTTGCCCTACTGGAACCTTCTGTATGTGAAAAAGTCCCTTTTTTTTTTTTTTTTTTAAAAACAAAAGCAATCCTACAAAGATGCAAATTAAAATAAAAAAAAAAAAAAAGAGGGAAAAATCCTCAAGTTTGATGAACCTTATCAACTGTCATAACACAAACTCAGCTCTAGCTTAGTGTAAATCAGGAAAACACATTTAAAACAAAAATAAGTTTAAAAACCATGTTGTAAACCTGTTTCTTGACCATATGCAGATCCAATCAGATCATGACTGTGAACACTTATATCTAGATTTACACCCAGATTCAGCTCTGGAAGTCCTTTACCTTTGACATTTTATAGTGTCAATTGACATTTGATCCTTAAAGATCCCTCCCAGCCCAAACCATTCTATGATTTTTCCCCTCTAAGAAAAAAAATCAATTTTACCCATAAATGTGGGACACCTGGTTACTAGATGGGAAATATGAAACATTTTGGAACTTTGAGCACCAAGGATCCAAAAAAAACCCCCCAAATCCTTTAGAAACCATAATTTCATCCCTTTATTTGGGGACTGAAAAAGAGTGGATAGAATTCAGTTAGAAGGGAATAAAGTGATATTAGGCAAGCGAAGATATAGGAGCTCCAGGTGACAGATATAGCAAAGAAATGGTAATATTACAGTAAATAAAATAATATTTTTTAGGCTGAATGCAATCCTGGTGGTCAAAACCACCGCCAGCTTCCAGTTACTCCCCAGAGAAACTCAACAGGAACACATTTGAAAAGCTGCTTGTGTTTTGACAGGTTATCACTGGTTTCAAAGACATTCCTCATATTCCACGAGGAAAATGCAGGTGGAACCAGCTCTGGGCTCTCAAGTGAGGAAGAGGAGTTACCTCAGCTTCAGTGACCACACTCTTCTTGAACAAACGGTCCAGGAGCTCTTCACTGGAGCATCTGACGAGGGCAGATTAAGGGAGAGCAGAACTGCAGCTAAAAACTCCTTTTTGCTGTGTCAGCCATCAGCAGAATTCACCAGGTGACCTCAGCCAGTGTGATGCTCATTAAAATCTTTATTGCAGCTCCCTCCTGGCAGAGTTGGGCTGCTCTAAACCTCTGCTCCTACGATCAGTCTGCAGGGTGGTAGATTTTGGTATTGCTCGTGCTAAAATCTGCCTGTTCTAGGTTTTCTGCTCTGCACTGCCTTTTCCTGGTGCTCACCCAGACTGGAGCTCATGGGAAAAAAAGAGTCCTTAACTTCCAGACATTTCACAGCAGAGTTTTGATGTTTAACAACCCATTCACACTCGGATGTACAAGTAAGATTTCACCCCACAGCCCTGCAGTGAAGCTCCCACACAGCTGGGCCACCCTGCAGTGCAGAGAAGGGCTGTGCGTGCCCTTTTACCTCAGGCAAAACCTAAAAAATGCTTAATTCCGAAGTTATTTAACAAATGGGCTCTACCCAGCACTTCCCAGCCCCCTCAGACAAGCTGCACAGGAAAAGGATACAACTCCAGGACCAAAATCAGCGTTTTCCTCGTCTCAAACTCATCCAGGAGCCTGGTGATTCTGTCGTGGGACAGAGAGGCGAGGATGTCCCTCTCCTGGTGGGCTCGAGACCTGGTCTTGCTTCGCAGAGGGATGAATTTGGCAGCACAGGACACCCTGTTCCCTTTGTGCACAACCCGTTTCACGAAGCTGAAGCAGCCCCTGTGCGGGAATGGAAGGACAAGCCCTGCTCAGACATGGTTTAAAGAGCAGCAGGCAGAGAGTTTTCCACCTCCCGGCCTGTGACAGCTCCCCACTGCCCAGTGCTTGAATTCTCTGGCATGAAAAGCTCGTTTTCCTGTGTGTGAGGTGCTGTTGCCCTCTCCTGGCTGTCTCCAAAGCGAAGCAACGCATCCACATCACGGGAAAAGCTGTTTCAGGTGATGCAGGTGCTGACAAAGGCTGATGCCTGGACTTGTGGGCTGTATGGACTCTCCCATCCTCTGTCAGAAACCACAGGAAAGCATTCCCAGCACACCTGCAATGGGCTAACCTCCCACTTTTCCACAGCTGGGCCCCCTCTGCCTCAGCAGCTCAGAAGGGCAATTAGATATTCCCTGGCAGTGATGCTCTAGAGCTGGAAAATTCATTTACCTTCCAATTTCCTGCTTCACCTCATAATGGGCGTGGAGCTTTCTCCTGGTGGCCGCTTTCTTTCCTTCTTGGTCTTTCTTAGCTTTGGAAATGAAGGAAAATATCAAGGTTTAATATTCAGACAGCAATGCCTTGCTGATAGTGTGCAAAGTTTTCACAGGGCAATCTAAGGCAGGGAGAATGACTGAGGTTCTCTAAATTTCTGCAGATAATTAAGTGGAGCTGCTTGATAACAGAACCTGTCAATGTGAACTCTGGGGTTGCCCAGAGAAGCTGTGGCTGCCCCATCCCTGGAAGTGTCCAAGGCCAGGTTGGATGGGGCTTGGAGCCACCTGGGCTAGTGGAAGGTGTCCCTGCCCACGGCAGGGGGGTGGAATGAGATGGTCTTTAAGGCCCTTTCCAACCCAAACCATCCCAGGATTCTGTGATTTGCTTTCACACTGGATCTTGCTGTATTTAGCAATACATGAACGCACACAAGAGTAGAGAGCTGATACCACACAGGTACCAGAACAGGCCAACAGCAGATTACACATTGCCATGGCTGTGGAAACAACCCCTGAGCAGCTGAGGGAGTGGCATTACCTTCATGTACAACGAGCTCTGCTTTGCACAGAACCTCCCCTCCTGCATTTTTGGCAACACAGGTATAAACACCACCATCTGCCACGGAAGCATCGTCCACCTCCAGGAAATACGTTGTTCCTTCCCTCCCCTGGTGGACTCTGTCACTGTCTGCCAGCAACAAAGTGCCCTGAAAGAAGGAAACGACATTTTAGCACTGGAAAAAACCAAGATGGAAACAGATGTTTCCCGCTCTTGAAAAGACAAGCTACGGGAGCAGAGCTACGACACAGACTGTCAGGGTCAGCAGATCTCACTAGCAAAATGCTGGCTGAAGAATCCTCCATGTCCCAGTGTTTATAGGAATAGAGGCTTGGGAGGGGTCACCAGTGCCATGTGGTTGATTGTTCAGCTCTCCCAGCACGCCATTCCAGAGCAGTCAGCCCAGGGAACACCAGGATCAGCTGCTTTGCTCCTGCCTGGTCTCCAGCTTGTGCTGGCACTTGTGGTGTTTACAAGTCAGATGAGGAGCAGCTGAGGGAGCTGGGGGGCTCAGCCTGGAGAAAAGGAAGCTCAGGGGGGGATCTTCTCATTCTCTGCAACTCCCTGACAGGAGGGGGGAGTTGGGGGGGAAATGGGTTCTGCTCCCAGGGAACAGGGACAGGACAAAAGGACATGGCATCAAACTGTGTTGGGGGAGGTTCAGGTTGGACATCAGGAGGAATTTCTCCACAGAAAGGGTGATTTGGCACTGGAACAGACTCCCCAGGGAAGTGGTGGAGTCTCCATCCCTGGTGGTGTCCAAGAAAGGCCTGGATGTGGCACTCTGCTCTGGTTTAGGTGACGTGGTAGATGTTTGGTCAAAGGTTGGACTCGATGATCCCTGAAGTCTTTTCCAACCTTAAAGATTCTGTGATTCCATCTATTCCTAAATGCTATGAAGAAAGGGACAGGAGGGAGTGTGTGTGTGTGGCACAGAGGGCAGATTGTGAGCATTTGCAAATGGTTCTTATGGCAGTAAAATACAACATAAATATATATACTACAATATATTCATATGTGTCTATAATACAAAAGATGTGAAGTGAACCCTATTCCCCCACATAGAATGTCAATCCCAGAGCTGTTCCTTTTTGTACTGGAGAAAGCTTTAAGTTATTGTAAACCACCCCATGGCAGCACCAGCTCAGTGCTTGGTGGGAGCCAAAAAGTACCAGACGTTAGAATTATTAGGGAAGGGATAAAGGATAAGACACAAAGCATCATTTAATAAATGCATGGCTTGCCCATGGTTTGGTACAGCTGCAGCAATGCCCTCTGGAACCCCTTCCAGATGAGCATTGACAGAGCAAATTGGGGCTTCTTTTAGCAATATGACAAGATATGACAACAGTATTCTAAGGAATGATAAATTACATCTCTTTCCTTTCTATGGGATGTTCATTGTCCTTGGTCACACTCACTTTAACAATTAGTGGCAGAAAAGATACAGAGCCTGGAAGTCACATTGACAATTGGAATAAACCACTCCTAATCCCATCCCCAGCCCAAAGCAACAGCAAATATGTCAGTGACTCTCAGGCAGGAGCCAATCTCCCTTCCTGCTCATCTTGGTCCCCAAAACCACCTTTGTGGTTTGTCCTGTCTGAAAAAGGATCCCCAGTGACACTGGAGATAACACAGGATGAGACACATGGATGATGGTTCCACTGGTTCAACAAAACCCCACAGACATGATCCAAAATCAATGTAAGAAGTGTGGGATGAAGGAGCAGAAGACATTCCCTGTGGAAGTACAGCTCTAGAGTGTGGTCCTCCCAGTCAGCCAGAGAAAAGTCTGCACTCACCTTAAACCACAGCACGGTGGGTGGGGGGGTTCCTTCGATGACTGCCTGGAATTTGGCACGTTCCCCAGAGTTCACCTGCACATCCTCTATTGTCACTTGCATGTAGGGAGGACCTGGTGGGACACAAGGGTTTGCTCCATGCACAACACCATAACTTGGTCCCCAGTGTGCTGATGTAGGTTGAGTTACTCCAGTGGGATTTATAGGATGGGCCATTTAGGATATAACATTAGTTTACAGTCAAATCAAGAGGTACCACAGCAATATATTTGCGTTTCTTTATACTGGCATTACGTTTAGGCTTCTTATCTTCAAGGTTATCTATTACTCTTTGTTTAATCAACAGTTACCACTCAAAATATGGAACTATTTAAAAAAGCAGTCATGGGGAGTTGATCCCAAAAGAGAAGACAGTGGCAATTGTGGAATGTAAGAGAGGGAAACAGGGTGTGTTCTTACTTGCTGGGGTCTTCTCCTCAGTCTTATACACACGAGTTCTTTCCGTGGTCTCAATGTAAACTTCACTGTGCACATCCCAGACCACGTCTCCTTCTCTCCTGTACCAGCCTCCTGCCCCTGCCTCTGGTGAGCTTCTGCCATGAAGCCCAAGAGAAAAGATCAAGACATGGTCACAAACAGTGACAGAGGTGCAGGATTCCACCCTGCCATTGACCTGTTTAACCATCAGACAAGGAGTTATTTACTTAAAATTAACACAAGAGGAATTTTGGTTTGGGGCAGTGAATTTCTCTCCTTCCTTTGGCAAAGCACGTGCCACCAGGATCCCCAAAAATTACGACAAACCTACAAGAATCTGTTCAGGTCACCACCTGGTTCCTCCACAGCGGAGAGCTTGATTTCCTTGCAGCAAAGTCTGCCCCTCTCAGAAATCCATCCATGTTATATCGACCCGTCGAGATGGCATTTACCTGTCGATGGGAACGGTGCGCTCCCGAGCGCTTCCACCTCCAGCAGCTGTGTCTTCCTGGGAAGGAGCAGGGCTGGGCTTTGGCACGCTTGGTTCCTCAGCCGAAACCTGCCTTTGTGCTTTGTCTGGCAGCAGAAACAGGGCAGGTTAAACACGTCAGCACACCTGAGACCCAGAGCAAGCCTAACTCGGAGTTAGAACGGAGCCCAGCTGGGTCCAGCTGAGTGCTGGACTGAAGCTCTGAGGCAGATTTTGGCCCTTTTGCAAAGACCACAGGAAGCAAAGGGATTGAACACCAGAGGGACTGACTGGTGGCACGTTTGTGACTGGGAAATGCTAACTTTTCTGTAAGGAAACATAGGCAGACAGAGATGGGAAGGGCAGTCTGTAGGGACAGGGAGAAACAGGACGACTGGAAGGATACCGTGGGTTCCTCCATCCTTTATAGGAGATGTAATTTATCTGTGTTCAAGTTCCAGCTCGTGGCTGTGATGAAATCATAGAATCACAGAACTGTTTAGGTTGGAAAAGACCTTTTAGACCATCAAGTCCAACCGTTAACCCAGCACTGCCAAGGCCAGCACCAAACCTCGTCCCCAAGTGCCACATCTGCACATCTTTTAAATATATCCACCATCAGCTTCGTACACATGGATGTTTCAATTAAACCTTGTTGGGAGAACAGCTCTTGACTCACTGCTGTCCTGGCTGGGGATATGATTAACCTGGAGATAATATGGAGGCACGTCCTTACAGAGGACCTGGTGATATTTTAAGACCAGCATTGCTGCACCTCCCCTGGGTTGCTGGAAAATGTCTTCATACAGCTCTAAGTTACACCAGAGCAAGGTTTGGCATCTTTATAGGAACAAGGAAACAAAAAATCTGGTGCAGCTTGATGGCAGTTCAAGGTATTTTTCAACTTTTTAAATTAATTATTTTTTCAGATATATCTTTAAAACCTGTTTTGTTCTTCCATTCCAGAAGTGCCTGACTGTCTTCTGACATTGGAATTACACCATAGGATAAAGTGCATTGTCTCCTTTTCCATTTTAGGAGAAAAGGTTAAACCAAGAGGGGTCTTCCCCCCAGCAGGAAGGGCCTTTTTGGGGAGCATTTGATGGATGTTTGGTGCTGAATGGCTTTGGAAAAAACAGCAGTTTCTAGAAATCACATAAAACAGCTTTAAGGGGATGGAAAAAGTGGTTATTCAAGACATTACTGACAGGTTGTTGGGATTGAGCTTTCTTACCACTGTCAAAATATTTGCCTTCTTTTTAGTCAAAGCATGTGATCATAGGGACAGTCATCAAGTCTCCATCTGATTAAAATAACTGTCCACAAAATATTTAATTTTGCTCAGTGAAAGACCTGTAAAACCATGTCATTCACTATTGTATTTCCTCTGTGGTTATGACCAAGGAAATAATCTGCTAGTTGACTTTTTACTTGAGATTTTTGAGTCATGCAGCTTCAACAGGGTATTATTGCCAAGGATGATTACCTACTAGAAAGGGGGGAAAAAAAAAGGTTTTAAAACTTTAAAAACCTGTCATTTTTTTGATGCTGTTATTTTGGGTCTGATTCCCTGAACACCTTTTTATCCTTGTTCAGTTTTAAACAAGAAAATCTTATTTTTTTAAGCAGCATCTGGAGTTTGAGGGCTGAAGGTTACTCGACATGGTCCTGGATGGAGAACAGTTCTCCTGATTTGACACAGAGACAGCTCAGACAGGTTGTTAGGACAGAAGCAGAAGGAAGAGTGGAAGGGTTGTCACTCGTCCCTGATTTTTTAAAAACAATGCAAAGACAAAGGGTTTGTTCTACTGGCAGGACACAGTCACACACATCCCTGGGTTTGGTCACACAGGAGCTGCTAAGGGGTCTGTCAAGGCTCGAGGGTCAGTGAAATGCGGCACAACTCGATGCACTCGACATCCTGTAAAATTTCTGACAGCCGATCCAGGGGTGCTAAACACGTTTCCAGATTGTCTATGGCCAAAATAAAAGCAACTGCCCTCACCCACCCCACCCAACCAAACCAAACTCCAAATAACTTCTACAAACAGGATCTCATCCCACCTTCTCCCCCAAAAATACTTGAAAGCAAGACAAGGGACAAAAACCCAAAGGTGGAAAAGATCCCTATTCCCTCCATTTTGGCCAGGTGATAAATCAAACTCTACTTCAGACATGGTTTTCAAACACCTCCTGTTTCTTGAAAGATCTGCCCCATTCTTACATCCAACCTAACCCCAGCCCACATCCCCACGTTTCTTTGGGTCTGACTGTCCTCTCTTAATCTTCACCTGCCCAAAACACGTTGAAACGGAAAAAAATGAGGTGAAAAATATCTTTGCTGGCATGTTCAGTGTTTCTCTCTCTCTTGACTCCCACGGGACGTGTCCCAGATCCGTGCCCAACCTACCATGGCCTCCAGGAGCCTGGGTTTGGGTACTGGCTTCGTGAACCAGCACAGAGGGCACAGCTGCCGCTTCTGAGTGGTCTGGAGGGACAGACCCAGGAAGGCCAAGGCCACCTTCTCCTCTCACGCCCAGGGGAAGAGTCACCAGCATTGAGGCCGAGTCCATGAGTCTCCTCAGGGCTGTCTTGATCTCCTTATCAGCACGCTGGAGCGAGGCCTGGACAGAAGTCTCCATCCTTGACTGTGGGGGAGTCATTCCTACAGGCAAGAACAACAGCTTTTCTCTCTTAAGGGCAACAGGAAAACGGCAGCATCACCCAACCCACGGGAATCTTTGGTTTTACTCTCCCAGAGCAGAGAGCTGGTGTGGAAAAGCTTATTCCAGCAAGAGGGAATGTGGGTAAGACTTGGAATAAGAAGGTTGGCACAATATGCTTTGGAAAGAGGTGTCCCCCCAGGCTGAGGAGACTGTGCCACACTGGGTGCACATGTGGGGTCTCCCCAGACAGGGGAACAAAGGATACATCTCCCAACTCAACCCTACGTTGGCTGGTCAAGAATACCTTTATTAATCTTAGAATACCCTGAGCTGGAAGGGACCCACAAGGATCACCAAAGTCCGACTCCTGGCCCCGCATAGGACAGTCCCAACAATCCCACCCTGTGCCTGAGAGTGTTGTCCCAACACTCCTGGAGCTCTGGCAGCCTTGGGGCTGTGCCCACTGCCCTGGGGAGCCTGTTCAGTGCCCACCACCCTCTGGAGGAGGAAAAATTCACTGGTTAAGACCCATGACGTGAACCCATCGCACTGATACAGATCCTACGTGCCAGGAGGACGTTGTCCTCACAGGGAAGAAGGAGGGAGAAGGCACCAATGTCATCAGTGACTCTGGAGAAGGGCAGGGGAAAGAAGGGCAGGTTTTTCTGCTTCATGATAGGATGGCAGGAAAGCTCCTCTTTGCTCCTGGGTGACGTGTTTGTGCTGCTTTACCATTTCTGAATAGTTTTGCTGGGCTTTGCTGCAGAAGGTACCTGAGACTTTAAAGTTTGTTCTCAGCTATAGCCTTTGCAAGATACCCCAGAAGGGAAGTCATCTGCTCTGCACAGCCACGCCCAGCAGTGGTGCAGAGGAGAACATCACACAGAGCAAGAGGTAACTCCTCAAGAAACTCAGTCTTGAAGGCAGAGAGAAGACCAAAAGCTTTAAACACCGAAAAAAATGAACTTCCAAAGCACAAATTTTTGCAGAACGGCCACCCAGGAGACAAATACCGTGGTTTCACCCCCACTCAGGGATGGAAGAAGCAGCTGCTCTAGGACGGGATCACAGGAGCTCAGGAGTTCTTCTCATCAATTTACTGCCCAATGAACCTCCCACAAATCTCGAAGGGGTACAACAAAGGGACAGGTGATGTTTAGGGAAGCCCTCGAGTAACCCATCAAGGCAGACAAAATGCATGTCAGACTCAGAGAAATCATCATGCTCATGATGTGATTGCTCACCGAGCAAGGGAGAAAACTCAAACCATAGTGTGGTTCAAGAAAAAATAAGAGCACTTGGAACAAAGAGCTCTGACCTGTTTTGATGTCATTGACACGGGAGCACGTCCTGTATCTGTTTAGATTCAGCTCCTTTCCCACCCTTAAGGAAGAAGATTCCCATGACAGGCCTTAGCAGGTCAAGTTTGGATCAGCCCCTTTGAAGACACCTCACTTGTTTTTTGTTTTCAATGATTTTTTTTTTTCTTCTGGATTTTTTGATGAAAAAAAGCAAGTTTTGCTCACTGGGTGCCCCAGACTGACCCTCAGTGTTGGTCAGCACTGGGCTGGGTGGAAGATTTTAAGCATTTTCCTGCAGAACTATTTTGATTCCCCGGTGTTCCTGCTGTGATTGCTGCCAGCTGGTGCTGAGCTGTGAGCTGGGCAGCTGCCAACAAGGGATGTGTTTGGAAAGGTATGAAACACTCAGGAGCTCTCAGTGAGGAAATACAGAGAGATACAGAGGATCTATATAATCACAGGTCTCCTCCATGCTGCTAAAACCACCACTTTCCTCCCTGTTCAGGGATGTTACACCACTTTCTTCCCTCCACCGTGATTCAAGCTGCTGACCTGAGGAACTTCAATACCCCCACCAAGGGGATGACACACCTGTGGTGAACAAAAATTCCCAACTCTAAACTCCCACCCTTGAACCTTTCCAGCCCACACCTCCCTCAGCCCACGGCCAGGGAAGTGTGTCGAGGCTGACACGTGTTTTGAAGTTCTAGTTAAGCCTCAGAGAGAAGGACCCGAGAGAGGATGAACATCATTCCAGATTATTGACTCACAGGTCTGAGTTGGAGATATCCCTAAAAAACCAGATCCTTTCACTTCCTCAGTTCTGAAACTTTCTATGAAACAGGAGCCAGAGCCCAACTGAATTACTGATCCTGGGCCATGATCCAGCTCCTGCTGAAGTCAGGGGGAGAAGAGGATGAGCTGATGGAACATCAAGTGCCAGAACAAAGAACACAGAAACCCAAGGAGTTCAGTGACAGCTGATGCAAGACATTTATTGATATAAACTCAGCATCTAACAGCGTATCTTGCATTGGATTTTTTTCTTGGTGTGTGCCTCTTTTTTTTTTTTTTTTTTTTTTTTTGTACCTCAAGCAAACTGAAGTTTCCACTTCATTAATAACCCATTTACCTGCAGGAATTTTAGTAAAACATCCACTGTATTCGAATCTTTCATACAGCTGCATGTTTTAATCTACAAGAAATAAATCCCTACACATCTCATTAGTTATCTACACAGTTTAATCACTTACAAGCATAATTTTTAACCTCTAGGAAAATATTTTGAAAGTATATGTAATGAACTTTTCATAGACCTTTCAGTTTTTGAACAGAGCCCTGCATAGGATTTTAAAAATTCCTTTCAACTGATTCTCTGTTGCTTAAATTTCAAAAGAAAATGTAAACAGATGTTAATTGCTTTGAGCTAATGAATCAAAGAATAATTATTTCTTCTATGACCATCTGAACTGCAGCCTTAGAGTGTCTTTAGAAAAACCTAAGCATCAACCACAGCAGGAGGAAGCCTCCACATTCCTTTACACATCTTCATTAACCTTTGAATGAATATCATATTTTAAAAGATTATCACAGGGCAAATTCTTTTCTCAGCAGTGTCTTTGTAAATCTGAATGAAATCCACTCCCTTCAGTGGAATTATTCCAGATTGATACTGGAATAACTGAGATCAGAATCAGGCCCAACAGAAAAGAAATATTTTCAGTTTTGAAAGTATTTCCCCACTGCGTGTCTGTTACTTTCCAACGTACAGTGCAATATATGAAAAAAAAAAAAAGCACTAATATAAATATCCACCGTATTGCTGATTATAAAACAAACAGTATAAACCAAGGAGATGTTATAAAAAACGGGAGAGTACCAGAAAGGAAGCTCGATTTCCTTCACCACACATAACCCCTGCAAAAGCATCCTATGTCATGAAGGTAGTAGTGCACGTGACATTCCACACAACATCCCGTCTGGATGCAGGGAGGGAAAGGCTGTGAACTCACTGGGTTCATTTTAATCAGCACACGATCAAGGTGCAGCCACAGAAGGGAAAGAAAAAAATAAAAATAAAAATAACGTGTTCTTTTCTGCAAGCACCTTTTGTGAATTCAGTCCCTGTCAGCAGGAATATTTTCCCAAGGCTCCAGAACAAGCTCCTCAACATTACCTGGCCGGGAAAACACTGAGACAGCCCCACACACACATTCCCAAGGTGGGAACTCCCTCCCTCTCTCTCCTCACGCTGCTCGGGAATTGGGCAGTGCCAGAGCATTTCTGGTTTCCCTGCGCCACCAGAGTGAAAACATTTCCTGCTGCAGCACTCGCAGAGAGCTCAGCTGGGACGAGGTGTGGGGACTGCTCACCCCACCCCTCTGCCAGCCACGGGGCCAGCGCTTGGTCCCGCTGAGATCAGTGACAAACTCCACCTGACTTCAACCGGCACCAAGGTCTGGGCCTGTGAGCTCGTTCCTTTCCAGGGCTGAGCAGCTTGCTGAAGGTCTGTGCAACGGGGTGGGCTCAGTGCACCTCAGCCTTCCCCCTCCACCTGCACTCCCGCTGCAGAGCTCCAGAGGATCCCCGCAGGAAGCAATCCCTCCACAAGGCATCTCGGCGTCCCGGGTTACGGTGACGCGGTGCAACCGCAGCCGGCAGCCCAGTATGTTTTGAACGGATCTGTTTTTCAACCAAACATTTATGGTAAAGCTCTCTTTTCTCTTTTTCTTATTGTTTTTTTTTTTTTTTAATATATTTTTGTGCTCCTGCTTGCCTCAGTGGTAAACTCCTCTCAGCACATATAGGGTACATCGTCCATCCATCTGTTGGCAGGAATGTTTCACCACTGGCATGTGCAGGAGACCAAATACTAGTCCAGTGATATTTACTGGCAAAGACCACATATTTGTGGTTCATTTAAGACCACATTTGTGATTCTCTGCACGTGTTAAGAGTTTGATTGCAGATGCAGAAACCATTTTGTGCAGCACTTTAACCTTTAAGTGCGCGTAAAGTAAATTATATTTTAAAAGATACGGTATATAAATGGTATATAAGTCCACTTCACTAGAATGCAGAATAATGAAACCTACATTATTAGACAACTAGGAAGTGGATTTGTAAATATCAGTCATTTAAAAAAAACAATCTTTTTCACTTAAAGCAGAACAACAAAACTCTTTCTTCCTCACATCAGTGGGACTTCATCACTGACTTTAGTTAAACTGGGATTTCAACCAAAAGGCCTGAGCAGCCCTTTGCATCCCTAATAAATGTAATATTTACTATTCATTTAATTCTGTGGCAGGAGTTTAGACTAATGTAACCAGACTGTGCATGTTGAAAGGTTTATGAAGAAATTTTGGTAGAGCTAAATGGTGTCAAAAGTGTAGAACAGAGTCAAAGCAATGTAAAGCTTCACGACCTTTGGGCCCACACAGTGACAGGAGACACTTCAGCTGGAAGAAATCCTCCCATCCTGGGCTGCTGAAAGATGCTGAAAAGCTTGGTTTTCACCTTCTTGCCACACCATAAATTGGCACATGAAACGAATTTTTAAGTTCATGGACAAAAATGCACTTTTCCCACTTGTATTTCTGTCATAGGTAGAAGAATCAGGCTTTTCCTAAACCTACCATCACTGCTCCACTATGGAATGATATATGTTCACCTCGGTCAAAGCCTTTAAAGCTACA